CTCATCCTATATTCTCATCCTATATTCTCATCCTATATACTCATCCTATATTCTCATCCTATATTCTCCTCCTATATTCTCATCCTATATTCTCCTCCTATATTCTCATCCTATATTCTCCTCCTATATTCTCATCCTCTATTTTCATCCTATATTCTCATCCTAGATCTTCATGCTTTAACATAACTCAGCCCAACCCACCCAATGTTCTTGATTATCTAGATCGACGTGAATATCAGCCAAATTTCATGATTCAGATTTATATCCTGATAAGCTAAATCAGGTTGATATCTCCTTATATAGTTGTATACAGGTTCATCATATTCATTCAATTATTTAATCAGTAATCCGTTCATCTGTATATTGATCAAACTGCACCATTCATCAATCCGCAATTATTGAATTACTGATCCCCTAGGCTATATTAGGGATCATCAAATCTGTTTTTGATTCAAGGTTTTGAATATTTCCGTGAATAAGGAAATATATCTAAAGATGATTGCTTTATTCCTGGGAATTGGGCGGATGGTAGAAATAAACTTGAGCTCTTTTCAAACTGAAGTAGACAGCAAGTAAGATTGAAATCTGATAAGTTTTCAATCGTAATTCCTCTTATTGAAGAATCATTTAACACTTGTTTCATTTAACACCCTTTGCAACGTCGCAGACCTTTGATATTTCAAACTATGAATTATGTTAGATCAAACAGTCAAAGTTTAAAATATAAAAGGTTTACACCATCATATTACACAGATATAGGAGTTAGAAAATTTGAGTATGTGGCAAAAATTCACTTCCTTTGTTTGTGTGTAAAATCAAAAGTAGAGGAGTGACGAGGTCACAAAGTTCTACCATTAATGTTATTATTTGAAACAGTCGTTTTAAAATGGTAAACCTTACGAAGAAAAACAGGTGACCCCGTAACCTTTGCCTGAATTAAAGAAAGTGTGTGAGCTGATTTGAACAATATTTGTTAGACAGGTTGCTACAAAAATGGGATAGCACAAAATAAAGGTTGTTAAAAAACGGTGAATATTTACAGCTTTTATGACGTTTGTGGATATTCGTAATATTTGAAGAATCATTTAACACTTGTTTCATTTAACACCCTTTGCAACACTAAGTCGCAGACCTTTGATATTTCAAACTATGAATTATGTTAGATCAAACAGTCAAAGTTTTAAATATAAAAGGTTTACACCATCATATTACACAGATATAGGAGTTAGAAAATTTGAGTATGTGGCAAAAATTCACTTCCTTTGTTTGTGTGTAAAATCAAAAGTAGAGGAGTGACGAGGTCACAAAGTTCTACCATTAATGTTATTATTTGAAACAGTCGTTTTAAAATGGTGAACCTTACGAAGAAAAACAGGTGACCCCGTAACCTTTGCCTGAATTAAAGAAAGTGAGCTGATTTGAACAATATTTGTTAGACAGGTTGCTACAAAAATGGGATAGCACAAAATAAAGGTTGTTAAAAAACGGTGAATATTTATAGCTTTTATGACGTTTGTGGATATTCGTAATATTTGGAGACACCAATTTGGTGAATATATAGTATGTTGTTATATATTCTGTCGTTGAATATTAGTAAAGCTTGTAATATCTGGGACATCATGTTACTGTTAGTAGATTTTGTTATAAGACCAGGTTAATGACCCAAGGAAGGAAGTGTAGTTTCACGACCTTTCTGATCCAGGGAGATATCAATCCAGGGACTTAGGAAAACAAGAAACTGATCCAGGGAGATATTAATCCAGGGACTAAGGAAAACAAGGACCTGATCCAGGGAGATATTAATCCAGGTACTTAGGGAAACAAGGAACTGAAATAGGGAGATCTGTAATTTTTATGAATTTTCAAGCTTAACATTTTGCGGAGAAAAAAAAATAATAAATCTGTAATTCTCTAAAGGTAAAGCACATATACGCATTGCATTTGTTAGCCAACTTCTACCAACCAAGTTTTAGAGTTAATTAGTTTTACCTCTCTAACATCATTACCATCATTTCCCACTAACTTTGATCAACCGATGTTTAGGATGTCGTCTTCAACTTCATTTGGTTTTAACTTGCTTATCTATTTACATATAGTACAAGGTTACCCACAAAGGACTGTAATGACGACACAAAACTAAAAAATATGACAATTTGAAGCTTGCTTTGTGGTTTCTGCACTTAATTGAAGTAGTGTTGTAGTACAGTAATATTCTAACAAACCTGGAATAATATTAATTGATTAACTGATGACTTCAAAATCGTCTTTAACCTATAGAATAAGCATGTAGGTAACCTGGTTTCAGCAATGTTTTTTTAATATAAAAATGAATTACAAAACAACCCGATTATGTTACTTCCAAAAAAACCAATTTCATAATTATTAATATTTCTTTTTTCATTTCCTTATTTGATAGTAATCAAAAAAGTGTGAGGTCAAAAGCAGACGCATAATCGTGTAGTTTTCTTCATATTTTTTTATTCTGCTTGATTGATTCATATATAACGAAATACCGGTTAGATTGTATGTCGTCTTCTTTGTCAGCAAAAATTATTATTCATGAAATGGGTTATGACTTATGCTTTGATAATATAATACATTTTAATACAGTGGTAGGCAATTATATCAATACAATGAAGACGACTTTTTTGTTTTGATTGTTAACTACAAGTAATCAAGGAGAAAACCTTTTAGATTTGAAAGGTTCTCTCATAACTTCATATTATATGCTTTATGTGTATCCAGGCTGTCATAAATATGAATCAACATTGAATCTATCTTTTGTCGTAAACTTTATTAAGAACATTTTCTACTGCAAACTTAAAGATATATATACATAATAAAATGTACATTTTATAACATAAACTAGGTGTTTCCCTCATCCAACACTAAACTACATATAGACAGAAGGAGAAGCTCAAATTTATGCGACATAACTGATTAGACTTTGTGACCTCGTAGCACCTCTAGTCCTGATTGTATGAAACATGAGGAAAGCAAATTAGTCCGGTTATGTATTTCAAATTCAGAACATTTTTTCTTCTTCTCTTTAATAAGAAGAGTTATGATTAAAAACATATAAGATTTCACTGTTACGTTCAATTTATATTAGTTTTAAATGATATCCTTATTGTATGAAATATTTGCTTGAAAATATTAAATGTCCAATGAACATGAAGCACCACAACTGTACAATGTACAACAACAGTTAATGATTAAATTCACAATGTGGATATCTACTGGATATCATAACAGTTCAAAAACTAAATTAGAGCTGAAAACTTTTGTGTTGGATATCCAGAGAAAGAGTTTCTTAAATTAATATCCAGATTAAATATTGCTTGTTCTCCACATGAATTTAAACTCCAGATTAATTATTCGACGGGATATCTGGATATTTCATTCTAAAGTTTTCAGCTCAGATAAGATAAGATAAAGTTTATTGCTAAAATAAATGTATCTGTATACAGATAGAGTTTACAATCACAAAATTGATGATTATATTAACAGTACAAGTATAAAGCAATTAGGTGGAAAATAGCTCTTGGCCGTTTTGATTATTTTTTCCACCTAATGTTAGTAATTCAATGTTTTTACCTATATTGTTTTCCCATCCTCCTGATCTATATTTACTTATAATACTTCTCTCATGGTTCTACTTTCTACTTGTTGGTTACGTCACAGCTGGAGAACGGAGAAAGGACCTCCGGGCCTCATATCTATCTATCAATATATCCATCTTTCTATCTATCTATCTATCTATCTATAAATCTGTCTATCTATCTATCTATCTCTAAAAGCCTCCAGCTGGTACAACATTAGTATTACGAGTAGAATATAACGAAGCAGACTTTTATATATTTACTGCTACATTTTTTCTAAATATACAGGAAATATACGAGTAGAATATAACGAAGCAGACTTTTATATATTTACTGCTACATTTTTTCTAGTTAAATATTGTGCAGTAAATTGTGTTATGTGCTTTGTACAATGTGCAAATACATTCTGTATTTAGTAATGTTAGATTAGTTTTTATTGTACAGTTTACGATTTGAAAGATGTCTTTAGATATAAAATACATATGGAATTTTGATAACATTAATGAACAAAAATACCATCTAGCTCACTGTACACTCCGCATCATTTCAATTACCGGACCGACATTAAAGCAGATAGAGCAAGATGTTCAGGGCACATACACAGACTAAAGACTAAACGGGACAGCAGTATAAAAAAGAATCAGTCCCTTCCAAACTTAAAATGGGAAAATAAGGAATAATATGTATTTTAACTAAATATTTCGTTAATACATTCTTTAATAAGATTGAGTATATTTTGTAAAATTTCATGCATTTTTATCAAAAGACGGGCTCGTCGGAACTAATCCAGGTTAAAAAATAACATATGTAAATAAAACAGAAAAATTACACAAATTGAGAGACACTCAAACCATGACTTTAAAAGAGGAAAAAAAATTATTCATAAGATAAAATATAACTAAATAAAAAATTTTCATTGGAAATGTTATAGTGCAAGTGGAAACCTTCGTCTGAATGGGATTATGATATTGACAAAGATAAAAATCAGTTGAAAAAGGCTACAAGAGAAAACGAAAACGATTTTTTAACAAATCATGATTTTGAAAGTCCGGAAAAAAGAATACTCTGTAAGAAATTAAAAACATTTTGTTATAAATATACAGGAAATATACAGGAAATATACAGGAAATATACAGGAAATATACAGGAAATATACAGGAAATGTGCAGGAAATATACAGGAAATATACAGGAAATATACAGGAAATATACAGGAAATGTGCAGGAAATATACAGGAAATATACAGGAAATATACAGGAAATATACAGAAAATATAAAGGAATTATACAGGAAATGTGCAGGAAATGTGCAGGAAATATACAGGAAATATACAGGAAATATACAGGAAATATACAGGAAATGTGCAGGAAATATACAGGAAATATACAGGAAATATACAGAAAATATAAAGGAAATATGCAGGAAATTTACAGGAAATATACAGGAAATATATAGTAAATATGCAGGAAATATACAGGAAATATATAGTAAATATGCAGTAAATATACAGGAAATATAAAGGAAATATACAGGAAATATAAAGGAAATATTTAGGAAATATACAGGAAATATACAGTAAATATAAAATATACAGGAAATATAAAGGAAATATACAGGAAATATACAGGAAATATTTAGGAAATATACAGGAAATATACAGTAAATATAAAGGAAATATACAGGAAATATGCAGGAAATATACAGGAAATATACAGTAAATATACAGTAAATATACTGGAAATATACAGGAAATATACAAGAAATATACAGGAAATATACAGGAAATATAACTCATTTGCGTCTGAATTAGATTAAATTAGACAGATCTATCTTGTTTATATTTTTTAAACCATTTTAATTATTTATCTTATATTTTTAATTTTGTTTTTTCTTTAGAGATGACAACATGCTCTAAAAATGGAATAGTTAATGGAAGTCAGAGGAGTTCCATTGTTGGGATTACCAATGAGCAAGAGTTTGATCAAGATGCTGGACAACGATTAGAGGAAATTTTCGACAAAAAGCTGGATTTTGATACTTCTGAAAAGTTGGTTATTGATAAAGCTAAAAACAAAAATTTCGATACATCTACTGAACCGTTTAACGCATATACTTCAGCACTATCTAGTGGACAGGCACCAAACAGAGCAACACTAGAGTCTTCTAGCGAAATAACAGGGATTGAATCTGACAAAATAACATGGGAGACTTTGGGTGGACAGACTTTGCAGATGTCTAACAAACCAATGCCAACAGCATCTAGCAAAGTCTCTTTAGAGACACCTACCAGCGTAACATTAGAGACATCTCTTGGACCATCTTTAGAGACACCTACCAGCGTAACATTAGAGATACCTCGTGAACCATCTTTAGAGACACCTACCAGCATAACATTAGAGACATCTCGTGGACCATCTTTAGAGACATCTACCAGCGTAACAGTAGAGACATCTCGTGGACCATCTTTAGAGACACCTACCAGCGTAACATTAGAGATACCTCGTGGACCATCTTTAGAGACACCTACCAGCATAACATTAGAGATACCTCGTGGACCATCTTTAGAGACACCTACCAGCATAACATTAGAGATACCTCGTGGACCATCTTTAGAGACACCTACCAGCGTAACAGTAGAGACATCTCGTGGACCAACTTTAGAGACACCTACCAGCGTAACATTAGAGACACCAAGTGGGCCAACATGTGAGCAATCCATGGAAGAAAATTATGTTGGAATAAAGTTAGAGACGAGCAGTGGGAAACATTCTGTTCAAGGTCCAACCCGGAAATTGGGAACAGTCAATGAACAACATTTCATGACATCAGTCTGCAAACAGCTGACAACGACTAAAGAAGACCTAATCAAAACTTTTGACGCTGATGCTACATTTAAACCAATAGCTGTGCTAGGGATTGGTGAACAAATAAACAGTTCCTATGATATAGTAGATCTAGATGAACTTGATGAGGATGAAATCAGATCTGAAGATCAGGTTACACATAATATTTATTTTAATTAATGTTATGTTCACTTCATTCCACAATCATGCTTCACGCTTTAATATTGAAATAATTGCACATATATTTTTTTGATTAAAGTATAGTTTTATTGTAAGGGGGTTAAGACGGCTCAACATTAAGAAAACTTGTCTCTTATGGAAAGGTTGAATTTAAAATTTTTTAATGTTAGCTTAATTTGGATTTAGCCACTTTTGTTGTCTACATTTACTCTGCACTTTGCTGTTACTTAGGTTACCTAAAGGCATAGGTTGCAAAGATGGCAATGCCTGATTCACAACGGTACCTGGGAAAGCTTTGTCTGAACAACTATGAATTAGATATCAATGTTTGTAATTTTTAAAACTGATTTCTCTACAAAAATTAAAGGAATTATCAGAATCAAACACATTTTAACCCTAAAAATACGACGATATCTTCGACATTGATGATCTGATGCAGGTTTTAATGGTACCGTTGTGAATCAGGCATTGCTAGCTTTGCATGCAAGGTCATCTTGAAATTACGCTGACAGTTCCTGTAACGTAAGAAGGTGGATCATGGGTTCCTGATCTATATATTATATTTTGTTTTCCAAGTCAACTTAAAGTTTTCATTTTTTACTGGATCAATTTGGTTGTGTAACACCATGCAGACTTTTCTTGAAGTCATTTAGAATAAAAAAACTTAAAGAGATTATAGGCACAAAGAAACTATGAAGTTTTGGCAGCAAAGTTGAATAGCTGCCAAATAATCGATTTTTTTGATTTTGTCATTAAGAGTGTAGATTTCTTGTTATATTTTTTTCTATTTTGGTTTATTTATTTTGAATAAAAAGTAATGTTTTTATTAGTTCTGCATATCTCACAGCTTTAGGTTTAGTAAGAAATTTGTATTTTGCAACGTTCTGATGCGGAATATATTGAAAACAATAATTGTGTCCTGGAACTGATGCGGAATATATTGAAAACAATAATTGTGTACTGGAACTGATGCAGAATATATTAAAAACAATAATTGTGTCCTGGAACTGATGCGGAATATATTAAAAACAATAATTGTGTCCTGAAACTGATACGGAATATATTGAAAACAATATTTGTGTCCTGAAACTAATGCGGAATATATAGAAAACCATATTTGTGTCTTGTAACTGATGCGGAATATATTAAAAAGAATATTTCTAAATGAAAATGTTTTCAGTATTGTGAAAGTGAGGAGGACGAGGAGTACAACTATCCGATGGGACTCCGACTAGGTCCTATAGGACAGGATAGGGAGGACGAGGACAAGGAAGGATGGAACTATGAGAAGGATGACGGAAGAAAGCCTCTAAACTATGAGGATGAGGACGCGGAGAAAGTTCGAGAAAAGATGAAAAGAATGGAAGCTGAGCAGGTTTGATTTTTAGACACTGTCATGTTAACCTAATATTTTTTTATCGAGAGATTCTTTAAATTCCCCTCTAATATATATTCTATTCTCTATGCTTATATCTTAACATCCTAATGGTGTAAGCTGTAAACCTTTGATATTTTGTGCTTAGATTATGATCTAAGAGCAAAGTTTGAAATATCTTGGGTCTACGACATCGGTTAGCAAGCCTATATGTATTAGAAAATCAGAGTTTGTGGCAAAGAAGACGACTTCTCTTGACTTTTATGTTTATGTGTATCCATGCTGTTTAACAGCTTGATATTAATCATTTAAATCGAAAGTTGTCATCATTGTATTGATATAATTGCCTACCACTGTAGTTATTATTAACAAATGGGTCATTCTTTTTATTTAGGAAGAGTTATCTGGAAGTCTTCAAGCTTTAACATCTCATTTTGCTCGTTTACAACTTCGGCTTCAACAGGTCAGTTTTATTGATTCATTAAATATTTCATTCATTAATTATTTAATAAATTAGCTCGTTAATTCATTAATTCATTAATTCTTTATTAATTAGTTCATTAATTCATTAATTCATTAATTCTTTAATTAATTAGTTACTTAATTCGTTTATTCCTTAATTAATTTTTTTAAGTATTCGTTTTTCGTTATGAAAGGTCCCATCTATGAAATATCTAATCTATGAAATGTCTAATCTACGAAATGTTCAATCTATTAAATGTCCAATCTATGAAATGTCAAATCTATGAAATGTCCAATCTATGAAATGTCCAATCTATGAAATGTCCTGTCCATTCCAATATATGAAATGTCCAATCTATGAAATGCCTTCTATTAAATCTTATTGCTTGTTTGATAATTTGATCAAATTTAATAATTATTATCAATCTATTAATTGGAATTGGTGATCATTTGATTATTTAGTTGATATATCTTCAGGTGACTGCTGCCCCGGAAGAGCAAAGAGAAGAACTTTTAAATGATCTTCTCAAGTTTTCTAACCTTGGAATACCAGACTTCAGAGCAGCTTATTCACAGGTATACCAGACTTCAGCTTATTTACAGGTATACCAGACTTCAGCTTATTTACAGGTACACCAGACTTCAGAGCAGCTTTTTTTACAGGTATACCAGACTTCAGAGCAGCTTTTTTACAGGTATACCAGACTTCAGCTTATTTACAGGTATACCAGACTTCAGAGCAGCTTTTTTACAGGTATACCAGACTTCAGCTTATTTCCAGGTATACCAGACTTCAGAGCAGCTTATTTACAGGTATACCAGAGTTCAGAGAAGCTTATTTACAGGTATACCAGAGTTCAGAGCAGCTTATTTACAGGTATACCAGAGTTCAGAGCAGCTTATTTACAGGTATACCAGAGTTCAGAGCAGCTTATTTACAGGTATACCAGACTTCAGAGCACGACTTGTTTCCAAATAAACCCAACTTCAGAGCAGCTTAACAGACAGAAACTTTAGTGTAGCCCATAAATTATAATTTACAGATAAACCAGACAAGAGGGCCAAACAACATGAATAGTTTATCTGGAAATCTTGATTTTGATATTTAAACTATTGTAACCAGTATGAGCTCAATAGCTCGGAATAAGGATAGGTCTATTGCTGTAACCCCTTCAGTTTTATTACGGACCTGGAGCTAAGCTCAGATTGGATAGTTCTATTGATGTAACCCCTTCAGTTCTAATACGGACCTGAAGCTAAGCTCAGATTGGATAGTTCTATTGATGTAACCCCTTCAGTCCTCATACGAACCCGGAGCTAAGCTCAGATTGCANCTATTTGAATTCTAGTCAGGAAATAGGATTTGCCAGGATAAAGCCGAAATAAAGTTAGTTGTTATGAAGAACCGAAAAGAGGAAAGTTAATCCGTCACATGAGGAGGAAGAAAGGCGGAGAATCTACCCGAGAGCTCCGGCTTTATTCAAGTCATTATTATCAAACACTATCTTTTCTTTTTTACGCTGTAAATACATTTTTCCTATACTCTGTAGACTTATTTACGTCAGTTTCAGACTTTACATTTTCTTTACTTTCGACCACTTTTAAATGGTAACAGTAGCATGATAATTTATGCATTCTTCTTGCATCAAGAATGCATTTGTACTTAAGTTAGTGCAGTTGTACTTCCGTCTAAATAATGCATTTGTATTGCACCAGTTTTCTGTAAATGAGGAAATGGTGAAACAATTTTATACTGAAAGTGTGTTTAGAAGTGGGTTAGAATTGAAAATTTGTGTTTTTAGTTATTTTTAAAAATGCGCTTTTTGAAAATAGAAGCGAGCCAGCGATTTTAAGCGTCTAAGGACTGAGTGATTGACAATTAAATGAACTATAAGGGATTTAATGATCTCTGAATTCTGTAAGGTAGCGAATAAATAATCTGTTGAATATGCGAGCTATTATGTATAATGTATATGTAAATGAATTGGGAAAGAATGTGAATTGATCAAGAACGATTGGGGGGGGGGGGGATTCATAATCGGAATCATTATTTAGAACATATTGAAAATTAATGACATATCCCCCTTCCTTCACAACTTACTTTGTTGAACCTTTCTAAACTAAGATAAGGAATATAGTGTTTTGGTGTGAAAGCTTAAACATAAATAATTCAGTGATTTTGACTGAACCTTCAGAAAAGTTTTCAAATAAATACGAAATATATTTATTAAACGATACTCCTTAATTTTAAAGCTCAGGCTTATACAGGGTGTCCCAATAAACATGGGAATTCAGTGACGAATTCGATATCATCTTTTTATATAACTCTTTGATTTAGTATAGTATACTGAGAAAGCTGTAATCTGTAAGAGTTTTGTCTGCTATGTTCACATTTTGTTTGTTTATGTTTTGACTGCATACGGTTGTACTTAAAACAAGAAAATTGCTGTATACAAACAGAGTAAACTTGTCCGTCTTCACTGTTCATCTTGCGGAGACACATCTTTACAGCCATTTATCGTTTTCATTAAATAAACTCTAGCAGACATAATAATATTATGGGTTTGAAATTAGTTATTACAATCCTAATTCATAACAAAGACGATATCCAATTCGAATCTTGAAAAATAAAATCTTAAATTTTTGAGGAAAGAAATATATATTTTGAAAATAAAAATTTTGAATATTTGTTAGCCTATGTTACTCCCAGGGTTCCCATGGGTTTTCTCAAAGAATGTCAGCCAATTTGGTCCAGCAGTTTGCTGCTCAGCTATAGCTATTATATATATATATATATATATATATATGCATGAGCGAATAGCTTTTTTTTATAAACTAGGCTTTCAGGGCGCTTCGTGCCCATCTTCTATTTCAACTGTGAACATTTTCTATTTTGTAAATATTGTACAACAAAAATTTGCGGATTTTCAAACAAAACAAAATTCGTGAATTTTCAAAATTTTCAAAAATCGAAATTTGTTAGAGGTAAATTTCTGAAAATTCGATCGTCCATAAACCTTCCTTAGGGTCACGTGAGGTCCCACAACAAAATTTGGCCCCGATCGGGTCAGCCGCGCGTTTTGACATTCATTGGATACAAAAAACAAACGGATAAACAAACAGACAGACAAGCAAAGTATATATATATGTAAAAGATATATAAACATAGAATTGTACTGCAGGTTTGTGTATCTGTTTACTCTGGGAAACTACAATACTATGGGTTGGACTGGACCACTGTGCTACATTTTTGAGTTTATGATAGATACAGCTCCTCAGCTTTTCCACAGTGCGTCAAACCTTCTCACTCTAGGTAGGTTAGCAGAAAAGGGATTTTTGCTCAATTTAAAGGGACTGTAAGCGTAATTTCAAATGACCCTCCATGCAAAGATGACAATGCCCGATTCACAAAGGTACCCTTGAAATCTTTATCTGATAATTATCGTGTAAGATATTGTGGTTTTGTTAAAATTGTTAAATTCAGATAATGCCTATATGTTCTCCTGCTCAAGTCAGTTTTGTAGCGAATCCACAATTGAAAATAAATTTTTAACGCTATAAATATAGATATATAATTCCTACCTTGATCAGACAAAGCATAGTACTCTTGTGAATCGGGCTTTGCCAACTTTGCATGAAGGGTCACTTATACAGTCTATTAATTGATACTTTCTTTTATAAGTATCAAAAAGTTTGTTTAACTATTACTGTCCAAAATTGTATTAAGATATTGAGTGACAAATTTTCAACTTTTATAGTGGGACCAATACAACCATACCTTAATAACAATACAGATAGAACACTAGATGTCGTCTTTTCTCATCGGCATTTCATTCAACGCAGCATTGCGCGTAACTCGTTAGGGTTTCTGCCTCAGGGTTACTATGAACAAAATACCCCTAAATCTTGAAAAGACTACATCTAGTGTTCTATCTGTATTGTTATTAATCTATGACTACAACTAAATAGTACAATTAACATAAAACACAGCAATTGTACACTGTACAGTATATACTGTACACATACTAATTTCACAAAAAAATGTCAACGTTTCTTGCATAAATATTTGCTATATAACTACAATAAATGTCAATGTTTCTAGCATAAATATTTGCTATATACTACAATAAATTTCATTGTTTCTAGCATAATTATTTGCTATATAACTACAATAAATGTCAATGTTTCTAGCATAAATATTTGCTATATAACTACAATAAATGTCAATGTTTCTAGCATGAATATTTGCTATATACTACAATAAATGTCATTGTTTCTAGCATAAATATTTGCTATATAACTACAATAAATGTCATTGTTTCTTGCATAAATATTTGCTATATAACTACAATAAATGTCATTGTTTCTAGCATAAATATTTGCTATATAACTACAATAAATGTCATTGTTTCTTGCATAAATATTTGCTATATATAACTACAATAAATAAATATAAAATTACTTAGATATCGGCCTTTTTCATTTTATGGGGTAAAACTTTTTTTTTCGTGCTTTCAACATTCTTGCTGTCGACCATGCACAGCGAATTCATATTGGAAATAATGTTCAATGATTTCTATATCTTGTAAACTAGGACAATGCAGTCTAGTTGTGTAAACTTTAGATTTGAACAAAAAGTTCGAAAATGACAATAAAATACATTTTCTTGTTTTGCTCTTGTTTCCTTAGTTGTTGTTTATTCATGCAAATATTTAGCCCAAGACATATATATTATATATATACAGGGTTACCCACAAAGGATTATACTTCAGAGATGATTGTACGGAATTGGTATAGTCCGTGATCTTGCATTCAGGGTTCATTGTAGGCCAAAACTGGCTTATATCTGTGTTTAAACATTTTACACATCAGCACTCAGCAGAATACTGATTGAATGCAGAAGTAAAAAATTAAGCTTCAAATCGTCATATTTTTTAGTTCTAGGTCGTCTTTACAGCCTCATCATTTGTGGGTAACCCTGTTTAGTGTATATATAACTAGTATAATGTGCTGCTGAAGAATGTCCAACATGATACACAGTGTCCAGCAATAACTAATCTTAATAATAGAACATGTTCTAGACTTATTTTAAGAAGATAATGTATATATATATATATTTATATATACAGTGTATATATATATATATATAAAAATATATATATATATATACCAGGGTTAACAACAATTAGGATAAGAAATAAAAGGTGGTTGTACCAAGTTTATATAGTATGTCTTTTATGTTAAAAATACCTACAATTAAGTCAGTGAAAGACAAAAAGGACATGAAGAATTAAATCTTAGGATCGTCATTTTTAAAGATTTTGAAGTTGTCTTTACAGTCTTATCCTTTGTGGGTAACCCTGTAAATACATATATATATATATATATATAAACAGTACAGACACTGTATACTGTATTCTACAATGCAGTACAGTACATATGAAGTATTGAACAATACAGATACTATACAGATAACGTTTAAGGCAGTAAAGATGAATCACAACATAGTTCTTTATAGCGCAGCAACAACATTGCACAAGGCAGTACATTACAGATATAATACATAACAGAAACTACCATAAGATAACTGCCAGGTTCATAGAACAAGCTGTAACTTGCTGTAACTACGACTATGATTTCCAGACATAGCTCTGAGCTCTGATCTCAAAATTGGATCACACCTCGTTCATTAGTCTCAAGTCATAGCATTTGATAGCTGTGACTTCGAGTCGCAGCTAAGCTGTAATCCAAGCTGCGAAGTCATAGCAATTTGACAGCTTAAATTGAAATCTTACTGGGCATTTGCACAAAAAGCGATCTCTTTAATAAAGTCGTCTTTTAAAAAAGGACAAAATTTTACCAAAAAAATTTGTATTACAAAATTTCAAGATACTAAATTCTGAAAATTTCATCATATTTTGTTGACAAATTTGTCTAAACAAAGAATAAAGTTTTTTAGTTTTATGTAGATGAATATGCAATTTTAATATTTATTTATTTATAAAAATGCATCCTCCCCCTTGGACCCAACGCCCCCCTCCCTTTCATTTCTTCAAATACCAAAATTTTTTTTTGAAAAATCAAATTTTCGAATTTATTTTTAATCATTTGTTTATGAACAATTTACATTTTTATTGCAATATAAATTTGATCAATTATCTTTTCATTTTGTAAACAAAATTAACTATTCTTTTTTTGATAAACTAAAAGTAAAACAATACAACAAAATATTATATTCGATTTTTCATATTTTCATTTTAATGGCTGAATAAATGTTCCCATTTCATTTGGATTCTGTAAATAATGGCGTCCAGTTTGTTCCCATTAGCTGTGATTTCGCTGTGAAGTCGGAGCTAAATCCTAGCTGAGGTATGATTTGGATCAGCTGAAATTTTGCTACGATTTGAAGTCACACCTAAGGTCTGATCTAGGTGCGTTCATTGACTAGAAAACTCAGACAGCTTTAACTAGCTACAGCTCAGCTGTCAAGTCATAGCTACAGCTCGATCTATGAACCGGGCTAACATGTACTGCAGTTTCTGGGAGGTATGTAAACATACGGAATGTCAAGGTACTAATGCAAGGAAAGTTAATTGCGGTCACGTATACTCTCGTACATATTTAAACCAGTTCTCTCTGGGCGGAATTTGTAAACAAGAATAGATGCATCAGTGTTCGTCTAGTATCTGAGGAGGATTAAAGCATTTAATTTTGATAATTTTGATAATTCACATAATAGTTTCCGATGACCAGAATATTTCATAGATTATTTTTGTGAAAATCGATCCCAAGTCAGGCTGTGGAATCCGTCTTGTGTTTACTTTTCCGCCCAAAGACAGTACACTGCAGTACAAAAAATGCGTACACCTCTGAAATAACTTTCCTTGCATTTGCACCTTGCGCAGTGCTACCAAGGCTAATCTTTGTTTACATTCCTACCAGAAACTACAGTATATACATTATTTTATATGAGTTTTTAAATGCTCTTTAATTCCAGATAAAGGACTAATTAAATACATTTATTTTAGCTTTGGCTGTACAGAGATACATATACGTCTGTCATGCTACTACAGCCAAACAGTGGTGCACTATTGCTAGGTAACAGACAAGACAGACAAGACAGACAAGACAGACAAGACAGACAAGACAGACAAGACAGAAGACAAGACAGACAAGACAGACAAGATAGACAAGATAGACAAGGCAGACAAGGCAGATAAGACAGACAAGACAGACAAGACAGACAAGACAGACAAGAAAGACAAGATAGACAAGGCAGACAAGACACTAAATATTCAGGAGTAAGGTAGTTATCTGTTTAATTTTGACCTTGTCTGTTGCGCATATGGTTAGCCGTACTGCGGATAGGAACTACTCAACAATAATGACAGGTTTGCTTCATTTTTCAAAATAATATTTTAAAGAATTTTTAAATATTTGAAATGATATTATCCAGCTTCTAGAGCTGAAAACTTTAGAAGTAGATACCTTTAATCACGATTCCTTAATATACACTTTTTGAAATATCAAACTTAAAATAATATTTATCTTGAGTTTATATAATATTGATCCCGATATCACAATTCTAAAGTTGTCAGCCCAGTTTACAAGATCCAAAATATGTGAGCACTGTGCAGTGTATCATCCCAATGTTAATCTTCTCGCAGTAGATAACAATGAATAAGTGATAGAATAAAGAAAAGCATTTGGTAGGGTTAATTTCAAGAGTTTTATGAGTGTATGTTCTACACTAGAATATATCTAAACCAGAATATTTTGTTTTAATTTTTGTTAAAAAAATTTTAAGTTAGAGAAGATAATTTAAACAAAAAATTGTTAATGAAATTCACTCTCTTCTATTTTCCTTGTTTGCTCTTCAATATTGGTTATATGCAGGTTTATAAATTATGTAAACTGGATGAAGCCTGTCTATGTTTGTCTTGTTTTTACTTTTTACCTCCTCCTTTTGTCCATTAACATTAGAGCAAAAAGATAGAAAAGGAATTGTAAAATCGATTTTACAATTGGTGTAAAAACTGAAAGAAACCTAGGAATGATACTCATTTTCTAAATAGACGATATTTATTTTATATTTTTATCTTTATTTGCAAAAATATTTATATTTGTCATCCAATAAATACTGTAAAGGAAAAATGAAAGGGGGTAAAGGATGAAACCTGTGAATCTCAGGAGTTGAACGATACATTTAAGACATCTAACTAATGTTTCTGTCTCGAGAAATTGATATAAAACTGTGTCAAATTTATACGAAAATTCATTTATATGCAATTTGTATAAAAGTTGTGGTAGTAAACAGATCATATTCAACAAATACGAAACCAATCTGAAAACGACAATATCCCACAGGAGTCTGAGAATCTCAGGTTTGTTCCTATTATAATTTCTAAATTTTTATTTTGCATTTTTTATAGATATAATTGATAATATTATTACATATAGTCCGTATTACGTCACCAGAACTTCAGCCAATGGCCCGGCAGTGCAGTAAACTGGTCACGTGATTTCCGTCTGTATCACGTGACAATGATACTGCACTGTCATTGGCTGAAGTTCTGGTGACATAATACGTACCATACAGACTATATGTAATTATATTATCAATTATCTATTAAAAATGCAAAATAAAAATTTTAAAATTATAATAGGAGCAAACCTGGGATTCTCAGGCTCCTGTGGGATATTGTCGTTTTCAGATTGGTTTCCTTGCGTATTTGTTGAATTTGATCTATCTACTTTAATACAAAATTGCATATAAATGAATTTTCGAACAAATTTAACACAGTAATATATCAATTTCTCGAGACAGGAACATCAGGTAGATGTTTTATATGTATCGTTTAACGCCTGAGATTATCCGATTTCACCCTACACCCCCTTTCATTTTTCCTTTACAGTCCCTTTAATTCGATTATCATAATCGAAAAATATATTTGACTTTAAGAATGGTCACAAAATCTTTTAACTTTTACTACTGAGGTGTGGTGCCAACGAAACTCTAACGAAATCAGTTTTCCACGAAATGTTGTGACGCCAACATAATCTATACCGATTCTAATTTAAATAACAAAATTTCATTTTTTAACTACGGTGACATTTTGTTTTTGCAGATGGCGCCAACGGAACTGCGATAATACCAGTTTGTCGCGTTGAATTCTCTCACTGGCTGACAGCTGCTCCAAATTCTCTCACGATCTACTTTAACACATACTTCTGGTAAGTCCCCTCTCAACGGTCATCTCATTATTAAATATTAACCTGGCACCGAAATTAATGAATTTGAATCAACACTTCAAATCCTCTCTTAATCTTTAAATTTGATTCGGCGGCAGTAGGAAGTTTAAATTCGCTCACTGATATTTTTACAAGAAAGCGCTAGCTATCTTTTCATAAAAAAAATTACAACTTAGAAATAATAAAATTTTATTTAATCATGCACTTCAATGCAATTTCTATATGTTAAGAAGATCATGTAACAATATAGTTATAGTATCATGTCAGTTCCAATTATTTGTGTGACGTTGTCTGTTTCATGAATTAACCCTATTCCTGCTGGGGGAGGGGGAGGTCAATTTGACCCCCCCCCCCAACCTGTAGATTTTTTTTTCATAACTCAAAAAGTATTTGTCTGAGGCTGTTGAAATTTTCTGACCTATAGCCCTCTCTTAAGGTCTAAAACCGGGCTTTTATTCTTACTGCCTAAGTCCTCAGGCACACTGCCTGAATGACTACTTTTTCCTGTAACAAACTAAATCTTTGTTTTGACCCACTTTCGGTTGTCAGATTTTAATAATTTTTAGTTTTGGAAAGCCTATGATATAAAGAAACGGATTGCACAAGTTTTGTAAATTATTTGCAACCCGTCAAAAGAAATTTGCACATTTTTAGTTTTTCTTAATTATACATCAGGTTATTTAAAATTTTGCAAAATTGTTTGCATATTTAAAATGGCATGATCAAAAATGCATATTTTATCATTTTTTGGACATATTTATTTTGCAAACATTTTTACTATTAAACTGGATTTTGCAAAATTTTTCAATTTTTGCATACGAGCTTTCCAATAATCATTTGTCATATTTGGACATCAAACATGGGATTCAAATTGACCCCCATGGCGTATCCTTGTTTTCATGTACCCCAGCAGGGATAGGGTTAAAACGTATAATTTTTAACATAAAAGAAGTCTCAACTTTCTTCTTTTCTTTGATGAATGATTAATAAACAACGAAAAGATTTTCTGGAACTTATCAAAAGACATGAATAGTTAATTTTAATTAGCAGTAAAAATGAAGTCTTTCCTTTCTTCCAGAATGTTTAATGTTTGCATATACTAATCATACAATAATTACTTCATAGCGGGGATTTTTTTTATTAATAAGACATGATTTATAAAACATAAGATCAAAATTTATAATTTATCTTATCAAAACCGGCTGGCTTTGGGCTATTTGCTATAGTGATAAAAAACTGAAAAAAGCTTAATTCTAAAAACTTTTTAATGATAACAATATTTTTTTTCGGAATAGGCTTGTTATTTTCTATTTTTACTGTAAATATGTTCCAATTAAACCATATTCAGTTATTTTTCGTCTTTAATCCCCAGGATGCACAAATTAACTAAAATAAAAATACTTTTGCTAGAACTTATCATCAATTTTTTCAAAAACAAAAAAAGCTGACTAAACCGTATTATTAGTCGTTATTTGTAAAATCATTAATTGACTCATCAATGTTTTTAATCTTTCTGAAAGAAATATATTTAAGAAAGGTTTGAATTTGGGTATCATTGTATCATTTCATCATTCCCCGTGTCTTTCGTAATTCTAAATAGATATTTTTTTAAGTTATGCACAATGCAAATTCTTTTATTTTATTACAGTATTAGTGTTCCAAGATCTGAAGTTAAAACTTTTGTATTGTGAATCTTGGGATCAACCATTGATTTCCAAATGGATTAATTTTAATCCTTTAATCCTTTGGTGGTTATACTCTGCAGGGATAACTTTAATTGAGGGATCCAGCATTTATCCTTATATCTAAAAGTGCCCCCAATATATATTGAGATCAAGAGTTCAAGATTAACACAAAAGTTATTACATTTTAACTTATAATGTCTTAGTCCTTTCATTTTTCAAACTTTGAACTCTGCTAGATCAAACAGTCGGACTTTGAACTCTGCTAGATCAAACAGTCGGACTTTGAACTCTGCTAGATCAAACAGTCAGATCTTGAACTCTGCTAAATCAAGCAGTCGGACTTTGAACTCTGCTAGATCAAACAGTCGGACTTTGAACTCTGCTAGATCAAACAGTCAGACCTTGAACTCTGCTAGATCAAACAGTCGGACTTTGAACTCTGCTATAGATCAAACAGTCGGACTTTGAAATCTGCTAGATCAAACAGTCGGACTTTGAACTCTGCTAAATCAAACAGTCAGACCTTGAACTCTGCTAGATCAAACAGTCAGACTTTGAACTCTGCTAGATCAAACAGTCAGACCTTGAACTCTGCTAGATCAAACAGTCATCTTGAACTCTGCTAGATCAAACCTTGAACTCTGCTAGATCAAACAGTCATCTTGAACTCTGCTAGATCAAACAGTCAGACTTTAATAATGGTTAATTATTTGAACTGTTCAGGTTTCGAGTTCTGATGATGGTTAATTATTGGAACTGTTCGGGTTTTTGAGTTCTGATGATGGTTGATTATTGGAACTGTTCGGGTTTTGAGTTCTGATAATGGTTAATTATTTGAACTGTTCATGATTCGAGTTCAATGGTTAAATATTTGAAGTGTTCATGTCTCCAGTTCAATAGTTAATTATTTGAACTGTTTAGATTTCCAGTTCTGAAAACGGCTAATTATTTAAACTGTTCAGGTTCAGAGTTCTGTTTGTTCAGCTATTTCCTTGTATCTCTCTAGTTATACTGAACATTCTTCTATTCTCAGGTATCCATAGTATATATATAAAGAAGTAATCTCTGTTTGTTTATTGGTATGTCTGATCATAACTCATCCATCTCTTGACCGATTTGCTTCAGATTTTGACATGGCAGCTCGTTATAACCACGAAAATGTTAAGTTCAAGAAATTGTTTAGATCTGCATGCAAAGCTGGGTTCCCAAGCTAGTACTTTACATATATAAAATAGTTTTCCCAGGAAATGTCTTTTTGGATGTCCGGCGATAGCAAAGAATCCTATTGACCGATTTTCCTCAAATTTTGTTTGGAGAACTCGGTAGAACAACGGGAATGTTCTTAGCTTGGTTTGAACATTCCAAGTTGAGTGGGTCCATTTGAACAAGGAAACTCCAGGGAAAGCTGAGTTCCCAAGTTATACCTTATATAAATGGGCGGACATCCAAACAGATAAAAAAAATTAGTAATCAACTTTCAAGACCGGGTTGACTCTGAAATGTCACAACGTCGCTGCCTTTACTACAGTGATAACCAGGAGACTTTAAAATAGGAAAACGACAGTATTGAATTAATTAATTGAATTTTATGTTGTTTCAAAGCAAACTATTACGAGACACTTATTTAAACACTAATTGATTGGAGTAGGCCTGTTTACACTGCACAATTGCCGTGTTCCATGCTCATTGGACTATTTAAAGTCATAACTTGAGTCTAAAAGTCGTCTTCACATTTCAAAGTTTTCTGGTTATCACTGTAACTCACTATATATGTATATTCTAATATCCCTACAAAAATACAAAAACACTAAATTGAAAGAACAAAAACGCAAAGTGAAATAGATTAAAGAATCCTTTTAACCAATCAAAACACCCATTAAAATCTCAACCGGGGCCGGAGGGGGGGGGGGAATAGTGTTTTATAGATCGTTGACTCTAAAGTTATCATCTTTGCCAACCATTTTATCATATGCCAAAGATGAAAAGCGGGGGAAAATCGAAAATGTGGAATCAAAACATAAGAAACTCTCAGATATACATCAAAATCTTGCTAATAAAATAATCATAAATTAATTAATCATTGAACGATCACAAATCCCAAAATTCTATTAGTCTTTTATAACCTATCGAAATTAAATATAAAAATTACGAACATTTTAATCGAAATTCAAAAAAAAATGATAAACGACTCTGTTTTTTTAATTACTTGCAAAATAATTGTAATATGTAAATGTGGAATCTCTATCCATAACATTTTCTTCACATTTTTGAAAAAAAATAGTTTTTTCGATAAAAGTCAGATATTACGATGAAAATGTTTTCTTCGGGGAGAATTCTTAGAATTTAAATGAAAACATGTTCGCGGTTTTTTAATTTAAATTGGTAAATTTTGAAAAATGATAAATTACGACAGTTTTCTGGGCAAAATTAGTCCCCTTCTACCAGCCATACACCTTTCCTACAGTGAAACCCTTAATAACGAATACATCGGAAGAATTTATCAAATGTCGTCTTGACAATTTTTTAAAGAGTTTTATACAGGGTGTCCCACATCAAATTAGACCGCTTCAATGGGTCTAAATTACGATTTAGAAAATTTAAGAAGAATGAATCATTTTGAAAAATTTAATAAGGCTAATAGAATTTTTTTTTTGCAGAAAATGCTAGATTTTTTGAGTATTATGTGCGTATTTTGGCGTTAAAGATTGGAGAAAGTCTAATATGATCTTGGACGCTCTGTACTCTATTACGTAAATTTCAGTATTTGCGAAAATAACTAAATAGCCATGAATATGCGGGAACAGTTTTAAAGAGTTCCATATCATTATTTAATTAAAAAACTAAATATCTGCAACATTCCATTATCAGAAAGTGAAGAATACGACATTTGATTAATTCTTTCGATGTATTCGATATTAAGGGTTATGGTGTACAGTCATGTAACACAAATTTTGGACTCAATCTGTTTAGCCATTTTAACGGGTACAAATAAACAGACAGACACCATGACAAACTAAGGACATACGGCTATCATCTTTCATTAATTCTAAAAATGTAGCACTGTTTTCCTTAAACTATACAAATTAATTAATAAGAAATGTTTAAAATTATTCTAAATATGCTAAAACTTCTTGTATCAGAAACTTTTTTATGGTTAGATCAGAGTATAAACTTTGGAGAAAACTTTCCTTTAAACTTATTTTCCCTGAGCCCGTTCTCTCCATAATAATGTTTAAACAGTGGCCGTGTTGTTCACGTACTTTGGGGTACGATAGTCTGACCGTTAGATGTCTCTCGCAAGAACTATCTATCCATCAGATAAGAATTTTGCGTGTGACATCTAGCGGCCAAACTATCGTCCCCCAAAGTACGTGAACAACATGGCCACTGTTTAAACATTATTATGGAGAGAACGGGCTCCGTAGTATTAGTATACAGGGTTACCCACAAAGAATGAAACTTTAATGTCAACCGTATATATTTTTAACTTTTATGCGTTTTTTTAAAGTCACTATTTACAAATGCAGGGAATAAAGAATTTTAGATAAAAAAATAAAGAATGAAAAATTTTTCTACAGTTGCCAAGTTTTATCCTTTGTGGGTACTCCTGTAGCAAGAAATGGACATCCTTTACGTGACCACTGACCGGCCAATAATGTTGTAAATTTAATTTTCGGAAAATAAACTTGGAATCTATCGAATAAATTAAAAATGATCTTTAAATCTTTGTAAACCAAAAATGTCGTTCTTTTTATGAAGGAGTTATTTAACGGTACGTCACGTCAAACTAAAGTAAAATGCACTTGCGATTCAAATCTTATATGTTTTTCATCATAACTCATCTTTTTTGAAGAGTTATTAAGAAGAATAAAAATGTTTTGAATTCATTATATGAAATCAAATAAATTTGCTTTTCTTATACTTGCGCTTAAAATCAGAACTAGAGGAGCAACGGAGTCACAAAGTCGTAAAAGCAATGTCAATTGAATTTGACCTTCGCCTCCTGGTTAGTTTGCAAATGAAAAATAACACAATAACACACAATAATGTTTATTTTTTCATTTTGTTTGATCTTTTCGGAAACGCTTAAAAAAGGCCATTTAAGAAAAAAAAAATTTAATTCATGAAAAGAAATTATAGTCAACACAAAAAAAGATCGAAGAACTTGCAGGGTGTTACTCAGAAAGGGTCAAAGAAAACTTTCAAAAATGTACTCAGACTTTTCACCCTATTGGTTCCCCGCAACAGCAAACTTGTTTCTTTCTTTGAAAAAATTAACGTATATTATTTATAAACTATAAAACAAACAGAATCAGGCTTCAGATTTTCATTAAAATCTCATTATTACAGGGTGTACTAGTCAAGTGTATTTTCCAGGCATTTACTAGCGTTTAGTAAATAAGAATTGTAAAAAGGGGGAAAAGAGATTAGAATCTTATCTGAAAGTGCCCATTAAAAGTTAGAAACCAGGATGGGGTGGGGGTGTGGGGGATATGGGGAAGAGATAGGGAAGGTGGAGGGGTACGTAAAGGGGAGAAACAGGGTTAAGGAAATGGGGAAGGATCCGGGTTCAGGTCAAAAACAGTTCTTCAAGATTTACTGGTCTTTTTCAAACAAATTACAAATTCTATTTTTTTATTTTTAACTTGATGAACCATCCTGAGATTATGAAGTTTTTAAAATCTCTAATGGTGAACATTTCAGATTTGTTTTTTAAATGCTAAAGTTTTCTTCAGCAGGTTTTGGTTGATAAAATCTTTGTAATTTTGTATTATATGGTTGATGTAATCTTTGTAATTTTGTATTATATGGTTGATGTAATCTTTGTAATTTTGTATTATATGGTTGATGTAATCTTTGTAATTTTATATTATATGGTTGATAAATCTTTGTAATTTTGTATTATATGGTTGATGTAATCTTTGTAATTTTGTATTATATGGTTGATGTAATCTTTGTAATTTTATATTATATGGTTGATATAATCTTTGTAATTTTATATTATACGGATGATATAATCTTTGTAATTTTGTATTATATGGTTGATGTAATCTTTGTAATTTTATATTATACAGTTGATATAATCTTTGAAATTTTATATTATACGGTTGATATAATCTTTGTAATTTTATATTATACGGTTGATAAAATCTTTGTAATTTTATATTATATGGTTGATATAATCTTTGTAATTTTATATTATATGGTTGATAAAATCTTTGTAATTTTATATTATACAGTTGATATAATCTTTGAAATTTTATGTTATACGGTTGATATAATCTTTGTAGTTTTATATTATACAGTTGATATAATCTTTGTAATTTTATATTATATGGTTGATATAATCTTTGTAATTTTATATTATACAGTTGATAAAATCTTTGAAATTTTGTATTATACGGTTGATATAATCTTTGTAATTTTATATTATACAGTTGATATAATCTTTGTAATTTTATATTATACGATTGATAAAATCTTTGTAATTTTATATTATACGGTTGATATAATCTTTGTAATTTTATATTATAGGGTTGATGTAATCTTTGAAATTTTATATTATACAGTTGATATAATCTTTGAAATTTTATATTATACGGTTGATATAATCTTTGTAATTTTATATTATATGGTTGATAAAATCTTTGTAATTTTATATTATACAGTTGATATAATCTTTGTAGTTTTATATTATACGGTTGATATAATCTTTGTAGTTTTATATTATAAAGTTGATATAATCTTTGTAATTTTATATTATATGGTTGATAAAATCTTTGTAATTTTGTATTATACGGTTGATATAATCTTTGTAGTTTTATATTATACGGTTGATATAATCTTTGTAGTTTTATATTATAAAGTTGATATAATCTTTGTAATTTTACATTATATGGTTGATAAAATCTTTGTAATTTTGTATTATACGGTTGATAAAATCTTTGTAATTTTATATTATACGGTTGATAAAATCTTTGTAATTTTATGTTGTTGATATAATCTTTGTAATTTTATATTATATGGTTGATATAATCCTTGTAATTTTGTATTATACGGTTGATATAATCTTTGTAATTTTGTATTATATGGTTGATATAATCTTTGTAATTTTATATTATATGGTTGATATAATCTTTGTAATTTTATATTATATGGTTGATATAATCTTCGTAATTTTATATTATACGGTTGATATAATCTTTGTAGTTTTATATTATACGGTTGATATAATCTTTGTAATTTTATATTATACAGTTGATATAATCTTTGAAATTTTATATTATATGGTTGATATAATCTTTGTAGTTTTATATTATACGGTTGATAAAATCTTTGTAATTTTATTTTATATGGTTGATATAATCTTTGAAATTTTATATTATATGGTTGATATAATCTTCCTAATCTTATATTATACGGTTGATATAATCTTTGTAATTTTATATTATACGGTTGATATAATCTTTGTAATTTTATATTATATGGTTGATATAATCTTTGTAATTTTATATTATACGGTTGATATAATCTTTAAAATTTTATATTATATGGTTGATATAATCTTTGTAGTTTTATATTATACGGTTGATATAATCTTTGTAATTGTATATTATACGGTTGATAAAATCTTTGTAATTTTATACTATACGGTTGATATAATCTTTGAAATTTTGTATTATACGGTTGATATAATCTTTGTAATTTTATATTATATGGTTGATATAATCTTTGTAATTTTATATTATACAGTTGATAAAATCTTTGAAATTTTGTATTATACGGTTGATATAATCTTTGTAATTTTATATTATACGGTTGATGTAATCTTTGTAATTTTATATGTTACGGTTAATATAATCTTTGTAATTTTATATTATATGGTTGATGTGATCTTTGTAATTTTATATTATACGGTTGATATAATCTTTGTAATTTTATATTGTACGGTTGATATAATCTTTGTAATTTTATATTATATGGTTGATATAATCTTTGTAATTTTTTATTATACGGTTGATGTAATATTTGTAATCTTATATGTTACGGTTGATATAATCTTTGTAGTTTTATATTATACGGTTGATATAATCTTTGTAATTTTATATGTTACGGTTGATATAATCTTTGTAATTTTATATTATACGGTTGATATAATCTTTGTAGTTTTATATTATACGGTTGATATAACCTTTGTAATTTTATATGTTACGGTTGATATAAACTTTGTAATTTTATATTATGCGGTTGATATAATCTTTGTAATCTTATATGTTATGGTTGATATTATCTTTGTAATTTTATTCTTTGCAATATCATTTCTATTGCTGTTTAAAGTTTTAAACCTGAAATTATCTATGTAAGTTTTCTTATTTTAAGTATTAGAACAAAAATTTATTTTCAACCTGTGTCAGACTAAAAATTTAAATTCTAAAAGCTTAAACTTTTAATATGAAGAAATTGAATCTAAGATCTTTATTAATAAGATGGCTATGATAATTAAGCATCAAGAGAATATTAAAAATTCTAATTTTTCCTCTCTAAATCTCTTTAATTTTGTAGTAAATATTAAATATCATTAAAGCGTAAAAATATTAAATATAAAACAATTTTCGCGGTATTTGACACAAAAAAATCGAAAGATTTAAAAAATAAAGGATTCCTTATAATTATTTTAAATTCTATAGGAAATTTGCCCTCTTTAAATATTTTATTCATTTCATAGCCATGAGGAGAGCTGAGAGCAGACGAAGACGACTTACAGTAAACAGAAACACTCCTAAAGTACAATCCGCGGCAACATCCAGGTAAAACGCGCTTTTTATGCTTCAGCCCATTTTTAGGAATAGATATCTCAAACCATAAATTCTTTAAGATAAAATAATCTAAGTTGAAAATATCAAAGGTTTACATCATCAGATTTTTAAAATAAAGAGACTAGAAAATTTGTAGACTCAGTTCCTTTGTGTGAACAAAAAATTGCCAAGACAATTATAATAGAAACATTGCTTTATTAAAAGTTTGCATAAAAAAATCTATAAATTTATCTATCAAGATATCCTGAAGATTGCATCGAGAGATGAAACGATAAGAATATTAAAGATATTTTGTAGTCTTGTACTTATTTTACCTATCAAAATAAATCAAAAGACTTAGATACAACGTGTCCCATTAGACATGGGAATTAAATGACATTTTCTATATCGTCTTTGTTCCAAGCAAGATTACTTCGTAAAGCTAATTTTGTAGAATCACATGCAGTTAAAACATTAGACACCGAAAACTACAAGTCTCGGGATTTTCAAAATGTGATCTACTATTTTTTACCCTAAAAGTTTACAAAGGCAATAGGAAATTTTTCCAGATTCCAGTTTATTAAAACTTAAAACTTGTCAAGATTTGGCTTTTCAGTAAAATGTTTTAGAATCTTCATAAGACATTTAACTCCAGTAAAAATATGAATAAATGTGAGTGCATTTTGTTTATTGATAATATCTAGTTTTATTGCATATTTCCTGCCAAATTCTACTAGGATCCCCAGACCATACATTGACGACAAAATATCCCACCCAAACCTTCTCTACCTGTTTGCATCCTATCCTACCATTCCTGTTTACATCCCATCCTTCCCTTCCTGTTTACATTCCGTCCTTCACTTCCTGTTTACATTCCGTCCTTCACTTCCTGTTTACATGCCGTCCTTCCCTTCCTGTTTACATCCCGTCCTTCCCTTCCTGTTTCATCCCATTCTTCCCTTCCTGTTTACATCCCATCTTTCCCTTCCTGTTTACATCCCATCCTTCCCTTCCTGTTTACATCCCATCCTTCCCTTCCTGTTTACATCCCGTCCTTCTCTTCCTGTTTACATCCCATCCTTCCCTTCCTGTTTACATCCCATCCTTTCCTTCCTGTTTACATCCCATCCTACCATTCCTGTTTACATCCCATCCACATTCCGTCCTTTCCTTCCTTTTTACATCCCATCCTTCCCATTCCTGTTTACATCCCATCCTTCCCTTCCTGTTTACATCCCATCCTTTCCTTCCTGTTTACATCCCATCCTTCACTTCCTGTTTACATCCAATCCTATCCTTCCTGTTTACATCCCATCCTTCCCTTCCTGTTTACATCCCATCCTTCCTTTCCTGTTTACATCCCATCCTTCCCTTCTTGTTTACATCCCATCCTTTCCTTCCTGTTTACATTCCGTCCTTTCCTTCCTTTTTACATCCCATCCTTCCCTTCTTGTTTACATCCCATCCTTTCCTTCCTGTTTACATTCCGTCCTTTCCTTCCTTTTTACATCCCATCCTTCCCTTCTTGTTTACATCCCATCCTTCCCTTCCTGTTTACATCCCGTCCTTCCCTTCCTGTTTACATCCCATCCTTTCTTTCCTGTTTACATCCCATCCTTCCCTTCTTGTTTACATCCCATCCTTTCCTTCCTGTTTACATCCCATCCTTCCCTTCTTGTTTACATCCCATCCTTTCCTTCCTGTTTACATACCATCCTTCCCTTCTTGTTTACATCCCATCCTTCCCTTCCTGTTTACATACCATCCTTCATTTATATTTACTTTTAACTTGATCAGACAAAGCTTTGTGAATCGCGTATTGCAACTTTGCAAGGAGGTTCACTTGAATTTACACTTCCAGTCCCTTCAAAAAACTACTAACAAGAGCAAAGTCTCCACCTTTCTTTATACATAGTTCCCCCTCAAATATTTGTCTATGAAAAGGTGGGGATATTTCCTCGTCCCCCCCCTCCCCATTATTGGTATTTGTTTTACGCAGTTACCTTTTCTATGGATTTCTTTGAATAATTTATTCTAAAGCCTCAATATTGCAACAATGAAGTTCTGTTCAGATAAATCGGTTTTATGCATTTTATATCAAAAAGTGCATCTAGGGATTTTCCACAAGAAAAAAAACTAGGTTACACTAGAGGCGGGAATCATTTTCAGATATTTTTTTGAAATTCGAATTTTTTTTATTATTTGATTGAGGAATTTAAATATAAGATGTTTGTCACTTTTCAACTTTGTCTGCTCTACAATTTTGCTAAAATTATAGATATAAATCAAAACATTATCGAGCTTAGCCATATTTTAAAGTAAAAAGATGGACAAGGTAATAAAAGTTTTTTTGGTTTGAAAAATGAATACTTGTGAAAAACTTTAATTTTTAAAAAGGGAACTTTAAAACACTGTCCAATGCCCATCTTTAGATTTAACATTCTTTGCATGGATTACACAAATCTCATTTATGCATATGTTGGAGAAAGGGGCGTACACAGACCTGAATAGGAAAATATGGAAAGTAATTGCCAATTACCCCCGCCCCCCCCCCCGCCCCTGCCCCTTCTTACCTAGTTAATTCTCCTCTGCTAGAGTCTTTTCTGTACAATTTAAAATTTTAAAGAGTGTCGTTGAATGAAACTCCCTAGTTTCCTTTTTGGGGGTTTCTTAACATTTTGTAGATTTTGATTTAAGAGATTCGAAAAAAATGGAGAATATAAACAAGCTGAAAAACTTTGAACAGGAAAAATTAGGAGGGGATTTGAGCTTTACACTATCTATTTTTTTCACCAATAGCGAATGAAGACAAATACACAGGATGGCAGATGTCCCATCCCCCCCTCTATGTCTTACTCAAGATAAAAAAGTGGAAAATGTGTAAAACGCCCCCCCTACCCCGCTCCCCCTCCATCAAGAAAATTTTATTGAAAGTGTGTTAGCTAGCAATGCAGGAGCTGACACAGTAACATGACTGAAGCAAAATTAAAAACAAACAAGGGAGAGAGTAACCTTTTATTCTTATTTTTATTCTCAAAATTAGCCAAAGTATGATTGAAGGATGGACAAGGAATGGACGATCAAGAAGAAAGGATGAAAAGCAAGAAATATAGAAGTCTCAAAATATTTCCATCTGATATCATATTGAAATTGAAAAATATTGTAAAATTTAATTAAAATAAATTATTAAAGTTAAAAACAAGCTGAAAAAAAGTAATATTTCAATATACAAAACTATTGATATTCACAAAACTGCCTAACCCCGTTCGTAAACCCGGGGTTTTAAAACTGGTTTTCATAACGATACTCAGTCTTCAGTTTTGGGCTCAGGTTTCTCATGAATCGTGTAAAGTGCAATATCTTAAAAAGAGAAGTTTTTATTACAACTAGCACAGAACACATCAAATTGATGTGGAAAGGTGCATCAATTTTTAAGATTTAGACGACTTTTAAGTGTCGCAACGCCTTGACTTTTCATCTTACCTCATAATAACATAATAGTATAGGATATACTATTTTGTAAACCTAGACATGCACATTTTATAACTATACGCATTTGTTTATAGCTAAAGTTTTAAAGAAGAATTCTGAAAAATGAAATCAGATTTTTGCGCTAATAAAATTAAACTTTTTTAATTGGCTTTTTAACTTTTTAATTAAAAACTAATTTAATCGTCTTCAAAAAGGACGAAATTTCAATTTAATTATATCTTTGTTAGATTTGAAATATTTTTAAATTAGTTTACATTACATCTTGAAATTCATTTGTTAACAAAACTTTAAGATTTAGATATTTAGATTTGAAAATTTTACGTCTTTTTAACATTAATATAAAAAAATCAGTTTAATGAAGTGATTCAATATAAATTTAAGAATTCTATAGCATATTTAAATGTCAAAATATTCACCTTCATTAAAATGAAAATTTAGAATATTGAAAACAGATAAATTGAAATTGAAGAATTCTTAAAACTAAAAAATTATCCAAAAATTAAAAAAGTATGGTTTAAGGATTTTAATGATAAATTATTAAATGCTTAAAGGCAAAACTAGTTTAAACATTATATAATTTTTGTGGGACCAAAAATGGCCTCATGAGAGCCTTAAAGGGACTGTTAACATAAAAGTGACTCTCCATCTATAAAAGGGCATCTATGATACACAATGGTATCCTTAAAAGTTTTGTCTGATCAAGTATCAATTAGATATCTTTCCTTTTGTTCTTGAAAAACTTAATATATTTTCATTTGTGGTTTTTCTAAAAAGTGGCTTTCTTGTTTGGGAAAAAATGGAGAAATTAACAAAATTAAGCACTTTTGATGTTAAACACCGTTATCTTCCACATTATTGATCCGATTATGGTCTAAAGGGAACCGTTGTGAATCAGACATACCCCTCTCGAAATGGAGGATCGCTTTAAATTACAAGAACAGTCCATTTAAAGTTTCAAATATTTACGACACTGGGTTGCAAAGATATAGGAATTAGAAAATCAGAGTTTGTGGCAAAGACTCTTTAAACATCTTTAAAAAAGTACGTATAATTAGTTTTGAATAAATAATCATAAGTGTGACATATTATGATTGGTATTTTTTTTAAAATAATTTATACCTAGAAGAGCATCGTTGTTTGGTCTGAGCAGAGAGAATAGGAGGCAGAGGGATGCTAACAGCACAACTATGATGCTCATAGGTATTATTATTATCAGTGTTATCATTTATTTCATTAGTATACTTATTATTATTATTAAGGATTGAGAATAATGATGTTAATCATTATCATCATTATCATTTTTATCATCATAATCATTATTATTTTCATTATAAATAGGGGTAAAAATTTTAACCCTATTGTCATGATTATCTTTTTATTATTATCATTCCTATTACCATTAGTAGTATTATCGTGAAAAAGCGTTCTAACATGCAGCATGCTGGATCGGAGTCGGCAGTTTGCCATAAAATAATCCCAAAAATGATTAACTTTTAGAAATAACAAAATGTGCAACTGTAAATTAAGTTTAAAAGTTGATTAATTCTATTATTTGCCACCATCCCCTAACTGCCTGGAGAGAGAAACTTTTGATTAAGATAGCTCTTAGCGTCATCGCTTAACTTGATATCCACTGTACAAACTTTTGAATCGGCGTTTTTTTAACTCCTTAAATCGGGGAAAGTTGGCAATTTCTGGAATCTTCGGTTAAACCAGAGGAAGAGTACACAACTTTTAAGTTGTAGCTTAAAAACTCTGTAAAATAAAGAGTTAATGATTCAATTAAAATTAGTTTCATACTTTTATATTAAATCAAAAAATGGGTTTCATGAATACGCAAGTGCTGCAGCTTTTTAAAGAAAACTATATACGACTGCTGGGATTTGATAGGTTTATAAATTCAACTCGTCGATTCGATGTGCCAAATATTTGTAAGGTTTAGTTAAGGTTTAGTTTTAAGTTACGAGCGACATTTAAACTTTAACTTTTTATTCTGTAGTTTTAAACTCAGGGGAAAATGAATCGCCTAAGCATTGGAGTTTAAAGGGAGTAACTGGCTAGACATGGTAGTTGAACTGAGAGTGCATTATTGTAAATACATGTTTTATAATTCATTTGAGACCCGTTAGGGAACACGTTGAGAAAAAATGGTCAGTGAGGGATAATTAATCAATTTTGCTCTCTTACTGAGCAATCATACAGTTTACACCATAAAACCGTCTGATGGTTTCAAATGAATTCCAAAAAGTCTCTACACTACTGCATTATCAGCTCAACTACCATGCCTAGCCGGTCACTCCCTTTTCGATACAAAAGTTTTTGCCTCAAGCCCATTAAGATTCAAGTTAGTGAGGATCTGTCCATCAAGTTTGTCCAAAGTTTCTAAGCTTGTCAGAACAGAGAAAAACTTGTATAAAGTCTGTATAAAGCAGTTTCCTGAATTTATCCTGGAGAATTAGAGCTAGAGAGGAGTGCTGCCAGAAATACATAAATAAAGACAAATGGGATGAATAAAATCGGATTAAGGAATAAATTAATAATGAGAGTTTAAAGCGGATGTTTGCGAAAAAATGAAAATGGATGGATTCTATAAGTAAACTTATCAACTTAGAAAAGGATCGTTATAATAAATATTACCCGTTAAATTACAAGTCAATATTGTTTTATTATTACGCTTTTTCATTTTTTGTGAAAACTCTTAACTCTACATAAATTAATAAGGAAAGTTATAATTTGGCAATTAACTTAAATGAAATTAAGATGAAATTTGAAGCAAAATGCTGAATGAAAAAAATAAAATGCAAATTGAAAAAAAAATGATTGCAAGGAAAACAATTTTCTAATGTTTAATATATTTTTATATGAATTATTACAAGGAAATGAATTTTCGTATATTTGATATTTTAATAATAATTCTTCATTCAATATTGATTAATTAATATTTGAATATTCTACTGATTAAAAAGAGATTCTGATTAGTTGTGATTGCTGTTTTTCTCGTCGTTGAGATACCACTTGCTGTCATGTCAGCCCTACATACAATATCCTCCAGGTATAGATATATATATGCATTACTTTTATGTCAGCCCTACATACAATATCCTCCAGGTATAGATATATTTATGCATTACTTTTATGTCAGCCCTAAATACAATATCCTCCAGGAATAGCTAGATATATGCATTACTTTTATGTAAACCCTACATACAATATCCTACAAGCATGGAAATATTCCCTACTTTCATGCCAGCCCCGCTTACAACATCCTCGAGGTATAGCTAGACATATTCATTACTTTTATGTCAGTCCTACAAACAATATTCTCCAGGTATAGCTAGATATATTAATTTCTTTTATGTCAGCCCTACATACCATATCCTCCAGGTGTGTAGATATATTCATTACTTTTAAATCAGCCCTACATACAATATCATACAGGTATAGCTAGATATATGCATTACTTTTATGTCAACCCTACATACTATATCCACCAGGTATAAAAATTTTCCTTACTTTCATGTCAGCCCTGAATACAATATCCTCCAGGTATAGATAAATTTCTTACTTTCATGTCAACCCTACATAAAATATCATCCAGGTATAGATATATATATTATTATTATGTCAGTACCCTACATACAATATCATCCAGGTATAGTTATAAATATTATTTTTATGTCAGTACCCTACATGCAATATCCTATAAGTATAGAAATATTCCTTACTTTCATGTCAGCCTGCATACAATACCCTCTAGGTATAGATATATTCATTGCTTTCATGTCAGCTCTAAATACAATATCCTCCAGGTATAAACATATTCCTTACTTTTATGTCAGCCCTAAATACAATATCCTCCAGGTATAGATATATTCCTTACTTTTATGTCAGCCCTAAATACAATATCCTCCAGGTATAGATATATTCCTTACTTTTATGTCAGCCCTAAATACAATATCCTCCAGGTATAGATATATTCCTTACTTGTATGTCAGCCCTAAATACAATATCCTCAAGGTATAGATATATTCCTTACTTTTATGTCAGCCCTAAATACAATATCATACAGCTATAGATTTATATCTTACTTTTATGAACTATGAACTAATATACCTATGTTTAGTGTTCATGAGTTTATGAGCTATGAACTAATATACCTATGTTTAGTGTTCATGAGTTTATGAGCTATGAACTAATATATCTATGTTTAGTGTTCATGAGTTTATGAACTATGAACTAGCGAGGGATATTGTTCTGTTTATCGACACAACCATCTGCTTGAGCTACCCGGTCAACTTCGCAATCTACTGTGGAATGTCAAGGTAAAACGACCTTATAGGGATAGCCATTGTTACGCAATTCTCCATTTAAAAAGGGACATTCTTGATTCTGAAGCAAAAAAAGGCAATTAAAAGTAATCCATTTTTGGAATAGAGAAATCACTTAACTATCATAAAAACAAGAAGTCAAATATTTTTTGTAATAGTTTCAGTACACGCATTTCAGCACAGTAAGACCTTTAGGAAATATAACCAAATAAGACAATTACATGACACCCTTTCCCCTCCTTTTTGAGCCTATTTTTTTAAGATCTGAATTACTGTTATTTTTCATTGTCATTTTTTATTTATAAGTCTTCAGACAGTAAAAAGCTGTCAATGCCAGTTATAAATGTTTTTAATAATAAATGAATTGGTCTCGCAAAACTATTTTTTAAAACTGTAAAAATTTCTTATGCGTATTTTTATAATAATGGTGCCATCAATGTTAAGTCAGTGAGAGTATTGGTAGACTTTTCTTATGTTATTCCTAATTCAGGGAGAGTATTGGTAGACTTTTTCTTATACTTGTCCTGATTCAAGGACACTGTGGGTAGACTCTTATTACACTTTTCCTGATTCAAGACACTTTGGATAGACTCTTCTTATACTTGTCCTGATTCAAGGACACTGTGGGTAGACTCTTATTACACTTTTCCTGATTCAAGACACTTTGGATAGACTCTTCTTACACTTTTCCTGAATTTAAGAACACTTTGGATAGACTCTTCTTACACTTTTCCTGATTCAAGAACACTTTGGATAGAATATTCTTATACTTGTCCTGATTCAAGGACATTGTGGATAGACTCTTTTTAACACTTGTCATGATTAAAGGACACTGTGGATAAACTCTTATTATACTTGTCCTGATTCAAGGACACTGTGGATAGACTCTTCTTATACTTGTCTTGATTCAAGGACACTGTGGATAAACTCTTCTTATACTTGTCTTGATTCAAGGACACTGTGGATAAACTCTTCTTATACTTGTCCTGATTCAAGGACACTGTACTCTTCTTATACTTGTCCTGATTCAAGGACACTGTGGATAGACTCTTCTTATACTTGTCATGATTCAAGGACACTGTGGATAAACTCTTATTATACTTGTCCTGATTCAAGGACACTGTGGATAGACTCTTCTTACAATACTTGTCCTGATTCAAGGACACTGTGGATAGACTCTTCTTACAATACTTGTCCTGATTCAAGGACACTGTGGATAGACTCTTCTTATACTTGTCATGATTCAAGAACACTGTGGATAGACTCTTCTTATACTTGTCCTGATTCAAGGACACTGTGGATAGACTCTTCTTATACTAGTCCTGCTTTGTTGCAAAATTTGCAAAATAATTCTTAGCTTTAAGTATTCATTCATATAAAACCTTTTTGGTGATTTTGATTGGAAAAAATAATTTCATGGAACAGTAAAGTTATTAATACATCCAGGGTTACCTAAAATGTACGAGAGTTCAGATATGACTGTACGCAAATTGTTTAAAAACTTTTACCTTTATAGTTACTTCTAAAAACTTTTTACATTACTTTTCAAATTATAAAATTTTTTATGTATTTAGGCTGCAAAGACAATGGAGAAAGTTGTAAGAAATTAACCCTTTATAAAATAAAAAGACGATAACAATAGCTTCCTCATTGTTACTTAGATAAAGGCTTTAAGGGTATTTTGTGAATCGGAAATGCCGCGCTATAAATAAAATAAATGCCGTGCTATAAATAAAATAAATGTCGCGCTATAAATAAAATAAATGCCGTGCTATAAAAAAGATAAAGTTCGCGCTATTAAATAAAATAATTGCCGCGCTATAAATAAAATAAATGCCGCGCTATAAATAAAATAAATGCCGTGCTATAAATAAAATAAATGTCGCGCTATAAATAAAATAAATGCCGTGCTTTAAAAAAGATAAAGTTCGCGCTATTAAATAAAATAATTGCCGCGCTATAAATAAAATAAATGCCGCGCTATAAATAAAATAAATGCCGGCTATAAATAAAATAAATGTCGCGCTATAAATAAAATAAATGCCGTGCTTTAAAAAAGATAAAGTTCGCGCTATTAAATAAAATAATTGCCGCGCTATAAATAATAAAAACGCCGCGCTATAATAAAATAAATGCCGCGCCCTAAATAAAATAATTGCCGTGCTAAAAATAAAATAAATGCCGCGCTGTAGATAAAATAAATGCCGCCCTATAGATAAAGGATTATTTAAAATTATATTAATGTTTAGAACTGCAAAGAAAGCATAAACATATCTGGGATGCTTTGGTCTGCGATAAAGTTTAGAAAATGTTTTTAAAAGTTCCAGTTGGAAATATAAGTTCCAATCCCTTCTGTGAATAGGAAGGGAAACCATGTAACTAAAGTTTTGATCTAGTTTTGATTGATCACTTGCGAGGAAGGGTGAGTAGAGCCAGCATTAGCCCAGCGAAAAGACCTCCGAGCCTCCAGATTCGCGGAATGCCCTCCAGGTCCCTGCGATACCATCTCAGTGCCTCTCGTTATTTCTTCGAGCCTCTTCATAACTTCATACACAGATGTTTTTACGGGACTTGGAGGTCATTCTGCAAATCAGGAGGCTCCGGAGGTCATGTTCCGGGGTCATGATGGATCTGCACTCCCTGCCTCCACTTCCTCTTATAGTTTATCAAACTGAGAACCCAGTTTCTAATCAAATATCTCTAGAACAGTCTTCAGTTTTCTTTTAGCTATCACTCTATTAACTGGTTCCTTTGGCGGGTTAATTTGAGTCATCAAATCCATGCACCACGTATTTCTGTAAATTATTTCTTATTATTTTATGGTAGATTTCGCATTTATAAGTATAACCAGTATGAAATATAAATCCATCAATGTAATAGTTTTCGTTGTGGATATCACTATTTATTTTTGAACATTTCATAACATGTTTAACCCATTTCAACCCCCCGGGATACCCATAAGTTCCCTCAAAAAATGTCAGCTAATTTGGTCCAGACGTTTGGCCAGCTATAGCTATAATATAGAGATTATAAACTTTCAGAAATTAGAGAGGAGCCTTTGTTAATCGAATTAAAAATAAACCCACCTCCTATAGATGCAACACAGAGCTGGGTGTAACATGCTGTACAAATTGTGGGAAGCGGAAGATTATTCCAAATTAATTCAAATGGAATAATCAACCAGCGGACTTTTTTTCAGCATGTCACCCTTAGCTCTGTATAAAAATTGAATGGTTTGATCTTATTGTAAATCGGTTTAGAAGGGTTCTGTTCTGCCCTTCATTTCCAAAAGAGTATAATAAGGTTAAGAAACATTTTTTATATCCTGATAAAGTAGCTGTAAAAAACTTCATCGTCTTCTGAGATGAAAATGCACGGTTTTTCACGAAAACATCGCTGAGGCCAGAGGGGGTGGTTATTTTACTTGATTGTTTCAAGAGACGTAAAGTGACTTGACGTCCCTCTGTTGGGGGGAATCTTGGATTGGTTATGTTGGTCAAATAGCAATAAAATTCTTAACATCTTCAGCAAAGGTTCTGTGACACCTTTACGGATCTAAATTGATCCGTAATGAATAGGAAACCCTATCTCAAGTGTGTCTGTTGTATAGGTTTTCCATGGTTCAATTTAACCTAATTACAACAAGAACTGGTTTCTAACAAATAAATAGAAAATGGAAGAGATTGAAGAAGACGATGAAGATAGATCTTGGAAAGATAATCATATGAAAAGTATAAATAAAGTTTTAATCTACTTTTCAAAATTATACTTATTTTCTTATATTATTAAAGGGACTGTAAGCGTGACTTATAGTGACCCTCCATGCAATGCCTGATTTACAACGGTACTCTAAAAACCTTAATCCTATAAATTAGAAAAACAATATTTTAACCCAGAATATATGAACAAAAATATTTTTTTTTAAATGCAGAGTCGTCCCTTAAGTCTCCCCCGTTGTGGTTAACCCTGTATATTGATGTACAGATTAAATATTAAAGAAACTATATTTATTGATTAGAGTAAATATATTCCGTACACCTAAATGATACTCTATAAAAATGAATAAATAATTCCATTTTACTTCTTACTTATCATTTATTTTTACATGAATTGATAATATGTCCTTGTTTGGCTGCCTGAAATGATTTTTTTTTTAAATTGTGGTTTATCCATGAAAGTGATTTGCGGTATTGTGCTACGGAGAAAATGATCGAAATTGTCAGAATTTGATAATTTTTTAAGAGAAAAACGACTGTTTGCTTCCGCATTGTGCAGGTTTAAAAGGTTCTAATTTTGTTGCATAAAGCACTCTAGATGAACCACAAAGTTGGTACACTAGACGGGTTGGTACGAGTAAACAATACACCAGGCAATCCTTGCACTGGTTTGGATCATGCAACTTATGAACTTTTGTTACCTGGGTACTGTTATGAATCGGTGATTCCGCTTTACAAATAGAGCGTCATTTGAAGTAACGGCTGCTGACCGTTTAAGGTTTTTTCTTCATTTCGTCACTGCACACCACCCCCCCGTATATTTACATTTTTCACAAATTTTGTAAAATGTTATTATCAAGATGATTTCCATTTTAAAGATATTTTACATTTAACAAGGTTATAAAAAGTTGTGATTACAAGAATAAAATGTTAAGAGTTCGACTGAAAACATAGTTGTTACTCAATAAAAACTATTTTGTATTCTTAGAGGGTAATAAAAAGTATTACAACCCCCCCCCCCTCCCCCACGGCAAACATAAAAAGTGTGTAAATAAATAAAAAGGCATTGATAAACAAGAAAAGTGCATTGATTTTGGATATAAAAGTAGTACTGCAATCTCGATTCTTGTTTCATGTAGTACAACATTTTAGTACAAGGATCTATCTAAAGTGTTTAGAAAAAATTCAAAAATAATTTTTAATTCATTATTTATTTTGGACTGACTGTCAGCTGTGTTGAATTCAGACCGGACGTAACTCAAAACAGTACACACTTGAATTTTCAGCTAAAAACAAGTGGACCTCGATAAGTTTACACACATATATCTCTGTACTCAACGAGCATATGTTGAAGGGTACCGTTGTAAATCGGACATTGACCTAATTGAATAGGGGGTTACCTTGCAATAGTTTAAAAACTTTAAGACTATTGTAATTATTTCTTAAAGAGCATTCTTTGGATGATTTCTAATTTGAGTCAAAGAAATGTTAAAAATCATCACTTTTTTAATAATGTTCATTGTTTTCTTGTTTTGTCTGAGATAACTGAATTATATTTTTCATTTAGACAATTTCGGACAACATTCAGTTCTCTGATCCTCACCCCGTGCATCAGGTTGGTTCTAAAAAAAAACATTTCAAAATTTAAATGTCAAGGTTTTTCTGGTTAAGTCTTATTTCTCGAGAACATATATTATATTTAAATTTGAATGTCTCTTCTGAGTTTTTTAAACTTCCAAATGCTGATATTTTAAGCTGATAACACCATTTAAATTATATTTTTTTAACTCGTTCTTTTAAAGCTTGTGCACATTTGACACAATTTGTACTCATCTGAACTTGTTGAATTCATTTGTACTTATTTTTATTCATTTGTTCTCTCTTGTACTAAATTGTACTCATATGTACCCATTAGTGCTCGATTGTACTTATTTTACAAAAATAAAACTCAATCGATTTAAAGTTTTTCTTTGTTTGTATTTTATGTTCTTTCTTGATCAGATTATGTTGTTAAAACTTCTCGATACATATGATGAAAACTGCTCTATAATTATTAATAAGATGGAAAATTAATCGATAATTAGATGGAAAACTATTCAATAACGAGATGGAAAACTACTCGATAATTAGACGGAAAACAATTCAATAATGAGATGGAAAACTACTCGATAATAAGATGGAAAAATACTCGATAATAAGATGTAAACTAACCAATAATAAGGTGTAAACTACTCGATAATTAGGTGGAAATTTCTTAATAATTTGATAAAAACTACTCGAAGCTTTGAAGAAAACTACTCGGTGTAAACCACTTGTTTATTTTTAGACTGGTTAAACCTGCTCCTAGCCCTGATGAAAATATTGAGGAGAACCCTGAGAGGAGCAAATGGTAAGAAAAATTCTGTATTTTTATATCTTTGAAACCTTAGGGTGTAAACCTTTGATATTTCAAACTGTGGCCCTGTTAGTACAATATTTTCCCCCTTGTGTATATAATATATGATATGTAGGCTTACTTTATAGTGATCCCTTGGGGACCGTTCATTGTATACAGCTTAGACTTATAGAGATATTTTTCATGTACTCTACTAATTAGGGGAGGGAGGGGGGATAGTATTTTCATGAAAAGCTTGACAAAAGAATCTGGATTCAAATAAATAAATTCACGCAGAAGAGAGTGAAATGTGATGAGCTTCATGGTTAACATTCTTTCAAAATAATATACGGTAATAATAAAACCTGAAAACTCTGGAATAGGAAGTCGACTTTTAAACTCACAAGATGGCTTTGAATAATGCAATGAACTTGAGACACAGCAAATGTGTAGTGTAAACCCATTTTACTTAATAAGTGATTTATTAAGTGTCTAGTAAATCTGTTTGCTTTGAAACCACATCAAATGCACTTCAGTATTGCTTAAATGTCGTTTTCCTGTTCTACAGGGTTCTGGTTATCACTGTATCTTATGATGATTTTAACAAGCTCACCATACACGAAACCTAATTTAACGAGCTTATTGTAAACCGTTCCTTCAGAGATTTAACGATTGAAAACTAAAGAATTTTTTTCTCCAAAAAAGTCAAAATTAGATAAAAATCTCTATTCTGCATTTCATTAATTTTCGATGTAAGCTCGTGTTTATCGGTGCTCCGTGTTCTTGACATATATCGTGTGCTGTGTTGGCGCCAAGGTTGTGTGTTTTATGTTAATATAACCTGGTATTAGCTGGCAACTAAATATATATAAACAACTTCTCTTATCTTCAACCTTACTGCTCCTCATTTAGGGGCAAATAAAAAAGATTTTGGGGCCTTTCAGGATAGGGAAAATATCCTTTAAACATGTCAGAAATAAACAATTTTCAAGAAAGAGAAACAACGAAGACTTTAAAATTATTAATGCACGAATGTTTGTAAATTCAAGGAACTTTAAATAAGAATATATGTTTGGTAGGTACAATTCACAACAGTACCCTTTTAAACTTTCGCGGATTAATAATCTCAAAGTGTTTGTCGTTTCTCTCGCTCAAATAACGTCTTCAGATACTTTTGGAGAAAATTCAACGGTTCAAAAGGGCGTTCTTACTCTTTAATATTCACATACCCTTTAATATTCACATACCCTTTAATACTCACATACCCTTTAATATTCACATACCCTTTAATCTTCACATACCCTTTAATCTTCACATACCCTTTAATATTCACATACCCTTTAATATTCACATACCCTTTAATATTCACATACATAAACCATATGACTTTTCCTAATTTTCCATCTAATGTAAAAACTATCTAAATATTTCTATGAAAGGATCTAGAGTGCTGATTGAAGAATAATCGGAAGTAACTGTCAATGCACCATCATTGTATATCTTTGATACTCTCAAACGTTAATGGGTAAATGTTGCAAGGTTGCAATCTAGAAATCTTTCTTTTTAATTTCCTTTTCAACCGACATGGTACGGTAGCTTTCCCTAATACTTTCTGTTGTTTAACTATTTTTAGGAATTTTTCAGGATTATATGGTATTACCCAAAAAATTTAATTTTAATTAATAATAAAAGGAAATTGGTTTGAAAAATGAGAAAAAATAAAAAAAAATAAGGAAAGAAAATTTTGGGAAAGAAGAAAAGATGTAAGAATAATATAATATAACTATAGCTAGGGAACCAGACACTGCAGGTTACTCATAGTTACTCCCGCCGTTTAACCGCACATAGTCGATTTTATCGAGAATCTAAACAGCTAAAAAAAGTCAACCCACTCGACTAAAAACTGTTAAGCAACGCTAAGCACATTCCTGTGGTTCTCCCGAGTTCCCCAATTAAAATTTGAGGCAAATCGTGAGTTATAATCGTTCATACAAACAGACAGACACCCAAACAGATATCACAACTTTATATATGTTGGTACATTATAAGAATTGCTGGGATCATGGTTCAAAAAAAGATAAAAGAGCATAGATCTGTTAAAGTTGGGATATTTTATATCTACTAAATGGGGTCTGTTGTGTACAATCGGAGTACATCATCAATTTACAGATATCTGCAGGGAAAGTTATCATTTTTAATGCCATATGATACGAATTACAAAACCTAAAAAATAGACTACTTTCTTGAAATTTTATGTCTTTTAAATTAGAAAATATTGTTGAAATTTAGATTTTTATTTAAAATTGTAAAGTTAGAATCCCTGGAAGTGTCCATGGACTAATTTTCTCTTATACATATTATTTTAGATTAAAAATCAAATTAATTTATTTAGGAATAATGGAGCAGGGCCCAGTACAAAGATTACAAAAGCAACCGTAGCTGGTACAACAGAGGCAAATGGTCTGCTTACAACAAACTTCTAAATGTAATCATGTACAGGGCTATCGACCAACTTCATGTGTACATAGGGAATCAACAAGTTTAACATGTACTATGTACATAGTCTATAAAGGAGCTTATACATGTACAGAGCTGTCAACCAACTTTTAAATGTTCACCTGTACAAGAATATCAACCAACTTCACTTGTACATACGCTATATCAACCATCTTCTAAATTTACACATGTATTGTACAGAGATATCAACCATTTTTTAATGTACAAATTTAAAAGAGTTAAAAGAATATCAATTATCTTCAAAATGTAAAGATGTACAGGGCTATCAATCAAATTTATGGCACACATTTACATTGTACAAACCAAAGATACCAAACGGAGACAAGTACAATGCTGCCAAATAAATGAACGAATGAACAAGGCTAATACTCATTCCATACTCCATGTATATTGTACATGTACATGTATATGTACGTGTATTTGAACGCTGCTGCAAATCACAAACTTTAAACTGTACACTGTGCAGGATAAACAGTACATACATAAATAATACATATATATCAGGGAGTAAGGAATAGAAGGGAGAGACAACTGACGCGGTTCGCCCTACCATATGATTATACATGCTTTGCAGACGGTACTCCATTTTATATCGAGCTGTTTGGTTTCTTTAGTAGGGCCCCACAGGAAAAATATGTATTGGCGAAACTGGTCAGAAAATTGAGCCAATACATATTTTTCCTGTGGGGCCCTACTAAAGAAACCAAACAGCTCGATATAAAATGGAGTACCGTCTGCAAAGCATGTATAATCATATGGTAGGGCGAACCGCGTCAGTTGTCTCTCCCTTCTATTCCTTACTCCCTGATATATATGCTCCTAGATTTACGTGACTATTATCAACATTAAAGAACAGTTTCTCATGTACAATTGTACGTGGGTATATTCGGTGATACAAATACATTAATTTGTAACAGTGAGGGTATAGGGATCAATTCTTACAAAACAAAAAAACAAATAATTAAAACATAATTAATTTGTTCAATGAAAGTTGATAAACCGGTTTGACCAGGGATTAATCCTTTCATTACGAGAAAATCGGCCATCTTTCTTTTCCAAACCAATCGGCCATCTTTCTTTTCCAAACCAATCATTGTGTATACACTATACAGGCGTGTCAAAATAAAAATACCCGACAATGGACAGACATTTTTTATTCAAAATATGTTTGGCTAAAATTGTCAGTCTTTTTCTACCAATTATATTTTATACCACCCTTTATGAAATAGAAGAAATATTACACATTGCATGATTTAAAAGTGAATCGTTTATTGGACACAAAATTGGAAACCTGTCATATCAAGAAATTTAAGATATGAAAAATTTTCTAACCGTTTATTATTGTAAACAGGGCGTATTCAGGGGGGGGCTATGGGGGCTACGCCCCCCCCCCCTGAACCAGTGAAATCTATTAATTTCAGGGGGTTTTCAGACCCCAACGGGTGCTTAGCCCCACTGGAAAGATAAAAAAATGTAAGCCTCCACCCCTGGACAAAATCCTGAATACGCCCCTGTAATGTAAACATATAGTATTAAAAAATGATGTGAGCGTGTTGTGACCTATTCAATGTGAATCAATGGAGTTTGCCCATACAGATCTTAGACTTAAAAATTAAAATAGAATATTATTTTTTACGCGAGCAAAATACATTTTCTGAAGTTTTAGTTAAACTAATAAACATGAATTGTAAGATGTTTTGCTTGAAATATTATGCGCTGGTTTTACAGTAATATCCAGATCAAATAGAGTAGATTTTACGTCAAAAATTAATTTATTTTCATAGCGCATTCTCTCATTGAATGTTATTGAATTGTTAGATCTAGCTTAATGGAGACAAAAAAATTTAATGTTTCAACAAAAATATTAAGTGTATGTTGTTCATCTTATAACGAGAACTCCGTAATTCGTTTAAAGAGACTGTAGGCGTAATTTAAAGTGATCCTCTCTTAGCAAAGTGACATGTCCGATTCACAACACTACCCTTTAAAACTACTAATATTTACTTTCCACAGAATTCGCAGAATAAATTTAATATTTTAGTGTAGAACCAAAGAGAATAGAATATATATTAGAATGGAATTTAATCAATCCTTCGGTATGAATTTTGTCAGTCCCTTTCAGCCTGAAAGGGAGTTCAAAGTGTACAAATCATGTAAATGTTCACAAATTATATGCAGTAGAGTACAAATTAATACAGTATGTTCCCTAGACTATCCATTTCAATTTCGATTTTTTAAAGCTGTTAAATAAACTTTCTAAAATGAATTAGGTGACTTAAAAAACATCATTTGATTTATAGTTATAACACCCTATCATCGTTTGTAAAGTGAAAGGCATAGAGTCTATTTGAAATGATTATTGGTTAATTTTGAAACCAGCCTATTTCATAATTTGGTTTTCTTTTAATATTAATTTTAGATTTTCTATAAAATAATGTTCCAGGGCCCAAAAGGTAATGTAGCGCAAATATGTGAAGTACACCTGCAGTATGGAAACAGTACAACAAAATGGCCGTTTTTTACTTTTTTCTAGTAAATTCCCCTCTAATATATATTCTATTATCTTTGTGTTGAACACAGGATGATATCAGTCAAAGAATTAGGGGGTATTTTTGTACTCCCTTTTGCATGCAGGGGCTTTTGAAACCCCGCTTACAGTCCCTTTAAGAAAAAAAATGAAAAACGTTAAAAAAATATTGAAATGAATGTGATGTATCTAGGAAATAAAAACATTTGTTGTCTTAAATAAAGATTTATTATAATAGGTGTCTATTCAGAAAACGCTTAAAATTCAAAAGAAATTTCAAATTTTAAATTACAAATGTTCCAGGAAAACTATGTTTGAAAATTACATCAAGTAAGAAATAAAGTATAATTATTAAGTTCTGAAAACCTGTAATTTCATGATCTCATCTGTTATTGCTAAAACATATTTAAAAAATTGTAAAAGTATGTTTTTACGGGCTAACAGATTTCCTAAAACTTTTACAATAACGAAGTTTGGTAAAACAATGATTTTTTATCTCATATACCATACTCGTAAAAGGATTTTTATCATGTATTTACAAATAAGCTTTACCAGATTTCTTAAAATGGAAGTTCAAAAATGTTTTAAATTTTTAAAGACTACTGCCGTAGCTCCCTTACGATTAAAAAAGATAGATTTTTTGGAAAAACAGTGGCTAATGGTGAAAATTGCATGATTTTTCTCAGAAAAAGTTAAAACTTCCTTTTTCGTGTAAAAATTAAAATCTCCAAAAATCCCCCATCCATAAACCAAAAAAAGCCTAGTCATGTATAATGTATATTTAATACTTGTTTTTGTCATGATTGTTGTAAAATTGTCAACTTGTCTCTTTAGTTTAAAGTGGGGTTTACCGGACAAAAAAAAAGTCAAATCATCATTTCTCAAATATTTTTTTAAAACTTAGATCAAACTCCTGCATTTAATTTTTAAATAGAAGGAAGACTTCACTTCAAATTCAAAGTTCAAGGGACATTCAAAGTCATTTTGGTTGCCCACAATTTATAGACTATATATGTGTCATTTAAAATCATGTTAAAAGTCTCTTTTAGCAGAAAATTGAAGTTATAATAATGGTAGGGGGGGGGGGTCTGCAGATTTCTTAAAAGTTTTAGAAGGAGGGGGAAGGGCGGTAGGGGGGGGGGTAGTATAATTAACGGTAAAAATCATAATATTAATATTATAATTTATTTGCAAAACTTACTTTGAAACATGTATATGAATAGTATAGGAATATATAAAATATATTTATTTAATTGAAAAATCTGTAGGTTTAGAGAAATAAAATGGAATTTAAATTTATGTAATGAATGTTTAAAATATATGTTAAAATGTAAAAAATGTGGATAAATATATTTATTGTTTTGTTTCACTTCTTTTTGGATTTTGTAATATAGATTTTTTTGGAAACCACTGTAATAAACTGCCTTTGGGAACCACTGTAATATACTATAATTTGTTTGGGAATTACTGTAACACCACAATATTTTATATTTTGGGGATAGCTTTAATGTCAATTATTTATGGGACTACCGTTTGTATTATACTAAGTTTTCCTAATATAATTTTAGCTTTAAACTTTTTTAATATTTTAATTTTTCTTAAACATCGATACAAGAAACATCGATACAAGAAAAAGGCTTATTAAATTCCTTACCGTCATCTCTGAAATCCTGTAACTTAATTATCATATAAATTTCCGTGAAAACTGTCTACGACTCCTACCAAAATTATGAAACCTGACTAAATGGCCCTGCCTGACATGCTGACCCATATGGTTCACATTGTTGAAATTAACTAAGACGACTGTCAATTTAGAAGACCCATCCATCCTTCCAGTCCAAACTTAATTCTTTTTCGTGGATTTTCTAATTTTGATTTTTCTAATTCTGACCATTCTTAAAATTTTCCTGAGGTCCGACAATAAATTTGGGCCAAACAACCAATCACTCAAACTAGCAAAGTATATATATATAAATTATATATATATATATATATATATATATTTAATCTTGATTCTGTGTTTATATTGTCTTGTAATCTACTTCAGGATTGGCATGCAGTAATACTTATTTTATTTATCTTACTAGAGCTGAAAACTTCAGAATGGTGGATATCGAGATTAATGCTTGATCCTCACTTTTTCTTAATAACGAGACTAACCTAATCTTGTCCTTTTATCCTCAATCAAGGTCACATATATGAAGCCGATAAATCTAAAATTTTGCGCGCCATTTAAGATTAACATACAGAAACGGGAGGGACTTTCAATTTTTAAAAACCGGTTCTTGATTTTTCTCTACTATATCCAAGAAAGAACGGTTTAAAAAGAAAATCGATCAGATTAAGTGATAGGGATTAAAGAAATCTTATTCTAAAGTTTTCAGCATAGGCTAAATTACAATAGTTACTTTATTCTCTTTAATGATTACCATTTTCCAAACCTTAGGTCGGAATTAATGAATAGTGAGAAGTAGTTAAACTAGGTGAAAGTTGAACTTTTAATCTAGAAAATTGGTTCAACTAAAATTCTGTTATCTACGTAATCTTCAAGAATGATAAAGTTGACAAAGAAAGATAGTATTTTCTCATTTGTGTAAAAAGCTCATTGGAACCTTCGGGTCATTTCAAGTACCGCATCGACTTTAAACCAGGCAGAGCAAGCTGTACAGTACAAATACAGACTATATAAGGTAAAACTGGACAGTACGCCAAATGAACAATCCAATTTAACCCTATTCCTACTGGGGGGGGCAATTTGACCCCCCCCCTGTAGTTTTTTTTACATAACTCAAAAAGTATTGGTCTGAGGCTGTTGAAATTTTCTGACTTTTCCTACATACCCAAAGCCTTCCCTTTAGGCCTAAAACCGGGCTTTAATACTAACTGCCTGAGTCCTCAGGCATACTGCCTGAATGACTGCTTTTTCCTGTAGCAAACTAAATCTTTGTTTTGACCCACTTCCACTTGTCAGATTTTGATAAAATTTAGCTTTTTGGAAAGCCTTCGACATAAGGAAACGAATTGCACAAGTTTTGCGAAAAAAATGGCAAATTTTTTGCAAACAACCTGTCAAAGGAAATTTGCACATTTTTAGTTTTTCTCGATTAAAAATCAGGTTATTTAAAATTTTGCAAAAACTTTTGCATATTTGAAATGGCATGGTCAAGGGCTTTTCAAAAATGTAGAATTTTTCATTTTTTGGACAAATTTTTTTTCCAAACATTTTTACTATATAACTGGATTTTGCGATAAAAAATTCAATTTTTGCAAATTTGTAAATTTTTTTGCAGATTTAAAAGTAGAGCACAAGAGCTTTCCAATGATGTATCATTTGTCATATTTGGACATAAAACATGGGATTTAGAGGGGGGGTCAAATTTCCCCCCCCCCCCAGCATATCCTGGTTTTCAAGTACCCCAGCAGAGATAGGGTTAATAAAATCTATGTGAGCTTAACACATCAACTCATATATTCTAAAATAAAAATTAATAATTACATCAGAAACGGGATAAAATAGTTTGAATCGTATTATTTACATAATTAAGTTAATTAGACGTTCATTTATAGTCTATAAGAAGTTAAACTACCTTTTCCTGGTTCATCTAATTCTTCATAATATCCAATATCTTGCGTCGTAGAATGTCACAATTAAAGGGATTGTACAGGAAAAATAAAAGGGGGTAAAGGATGAAACCTGAAATTTTCAGGTTTCATCCTATGACCCAGGATGAAACCTGAAATTTTCAGGTTTCATCCTATGACCCTTTTCATTTTTCCTTTACAGTCCCTTTAAGTATGGATATCTGATTTATCTTTAATGAGACTAAACATATCTGTGTACCTTTGCAACTCTACCTTACCACGCTATTATCAATTACCGCTTAAGTTCTTTAATAAACAGAAAGCAGACTTAGAATAAAAAGATGATTGCAAAGATTGTTATCAAGAAATTGATCATAAAAAGAATATGAAAAAAATTATCTCAGTATTAATACATTAATTTACATAATAAATTAGCATATAACAAACATATGACGAATATGCAGAAATCAATTAATAATCTGACGAATATGAGTCAAAGGACGATTATGTATAAATAAATGATTAATGTGACGATTTTGAATTGAATGATGATTATGAAGAAATTATTTAATAACCTGAAGAATATAAATACAGGGACGATTATGAAGAAATTAATGAATTAAGTTACAATGACGATTATGAAGAAATTTATAAATTATCTGACGACTATGAATTAATGGACGACTATATAGAAATAAATGATTAAAGTGACGAATACTTAACAAATGAAAGTTATGACTTTAATGTCACAAGTTTCAACCTTTTAACTTCTCTATGGAATTCTAAAGTTACAAGTGTTCTATTGGTTTTTTTCACTCTCTAGGGTTCTAATAAGGGTTTCAAGCTAACGAAAACTTTCGAGCAAAAATGCGAAAATGTTTGCTCGTACTACGCAAAATTTCGCGAAAATTAATTAAGCGAAAAAATGCGA